GAAGTAAATTAAATGGCCTGAAGACAGCAGTTGGTGGAGAACAGAAGGGGCCACAGAATGACTGGGTTTTAATGAGGTGGAGGACAGAGAGAGACACCGCGAGAGAGGGAACACAAGCGGGGGAGTGGGAGAGGGAGAAGCAGGCTTCCCGCTGAGCAGGGAGCCCGATGCAGGACCCGATCCTAGGACCCTGGGATCACGACCTGAGCGAAGGCAGACGCTTAATGACTGAGCCACCCAGGCACCCCAACAAAGAACTTTAAAGGGAAGGAGGAGTGGTGATAGCATGTACTCATTAAAAATAAAAATAACTTCCTTAGGAGAAAGTAGTGAGTGTAGGATAGAAAGGAACCAGGGAAAACCTAGAGCATCATTGAGATGAGAGCCAGATCAGGTTCCAAAGGGCACATCTTCCTCATCACACAACAAGGTAACACAAAGCTCTCCGTGGGTTATCCACTTACTTTATTTATATGGTCGATTCCTTTCTGACAACTTGCAGAGCTTCCCTGCCAGCCACTGTCACATGATCCTGTGAAAATAGAGGGGTTCTAAAAGCTGCTGGAAGTGAGGGCCTTGCTTGCCACCGGGCTATCGGGTCCTGTGATTTTCTTATTTCTGCCGCTTGCTTTGTGCTTGAAGGTTTTTTCCTAGTGCATGAGAAACCAGTTTACTTCTACAGCTTTCTCTTGTGAAGCCGGGATGTGTGTGTGTATGTGTGTGTGTGTGCACAGCACAGGTCGGGAGGGTGATGACCCATTACATATCAGTTCTTTGTCAATGTGGAGACTTTTTTTTAAAGATTTTATTTATTTATTTGAGAGAGAAGCAAGAGAAGGGGGAGGGTCAGAGGGAGAAGGAGACTCCCCGCTGAGCAGGGAGCCCGATGCGGGACTCAATTCGGAGACTCCAGGATCATGACCTGAGCTGAAGGCAGTCGCTTAACCAACTGAGCCACCCAGGCTCCCAATTGTGGAGACTTTTAAAGTCAGATCTATTGCAGGGATCCATATGACAAGAAATCTTTTGTCTATTTATCTAATTTAATAAAAAAAAAGATTTATTTTAGAGAGAGAGGGAGAGAGCGCAGAGCGGGGAGGGGCAGAGGAAGAGGGAGAGAGAAACTCTAAGCGGACTCTGAGCTGAGCAGGGAGCCTGACGCGGGGCTCAGTCTTCCAACCCTGAGATCACAACCTGAGCCGAAACCAAGAGTCAGATGCTTGACTGACTGCGCCACCCAGGCGTCCCTAATCTTTTCTCAAAGTAATCTCTACACCCAATGTGGGTCTCAAACTCACAACCCTAAGAGCAAGAAGAGCCGCATGCTCTACCGACTGAACCAGTCAGGTGCCCCAAGAAATTTTTCATTTAAATGAGATAATATATGTGAAAGGTCTTAGCAAAGTACCTAAAATACAACAGATGCTCAATAAAAGTGCTCACCAGATTCAGATCTGAATGTCTGTACCGCTGACTCTGGTTTTGAATTTTTAGAGCTCTACTTTCCAAGAATGATTTGCTTCTTTCTAAAGCTATTTCTCTGTATTATAGAGTACATTTCTTTGCTATTGTACATACAACGCGAAAAGTCTAGTTTTGTAGAATTAACGTAATTTAACCTGATGTATGAGTTAGAAAAGAGCAGGCCCAGTTCATTGGGAAAAGTTGTCCCGTTTTTCTGTTTTGTTTTTAATGCAGTAAAATATTTCCAAATATAAATAACAGTTCAAAAGCATATCAGAATATAATGAACCATGAAAGTAGATTATTCTTTTTAGAAGTAATATGGAGAAAATACTGTTGTAGCTTCAAACAGTTGGTTTAGACTGGGTTGGCCATTGGTCACTGTACGAATTAGTTTGGGGTCTGATCTTTTTCACTATCCAACTGATCTGTTTGGGGACAGGGTGATTTAGTTAAAAAAAAAAAAAGGTGGTTTGAAACTAAACAGTACATTTCAAGCCCAGTGTAGGAGTCTGGGAGACCCCAAATAATATTCCAGAAACAGCTATGCTCCCTTCCTCCTGCCCTGTTCCCCATGTCAAGGTGATGCCCAAGAGCACTGGGTACTTAGTCACATGAAATCCCTTGTTCTTTGAGGGCACGAGCCTCTCATTGCTGAGCGCTTTCCCTCCATCCACCCACAGCCAGCAGAGTCCTGCCTGCCCTGATGTCCTGCATCGGCTCTTCATTCCCTTGGCTCTAGGCCCATAGATTGCAGTGGAAATGTTAAGGACTCCGGGAGAGGTGACACATTTAAGCTGCATCCTGTTTTAAGTTCATGAGGTCCTTTCCTGAGAGCAGATGTGAATGGGGAGAGGGGGAGCCATTATTAAGTGGTTCAAGGGCTCCGAACTCAGGAGCAGGTTTGCCAAGAGCCATCCTCACACCCAAGTTGTTCTTGGCCATGGCCGTGTGCATCTGCTGTTCGTGCCGAAGCCACGTAAGAGAGGCCGCCTCTTGTCTACTACTTCTAGAAATGGTGATTCCCCCTAGGGGTAGATGGCAAAGAGAGCAGGCGAGGATGCGCATGGCACGGATGCTGGAGCGGTGAACACGGGCCGAGGAGGAGCTAGCTGTGCAGATGTGCTCCTGAGCCTGTCCCGGCCCTCGGCACACAGCTGACAGCCGGCCCAGCCAGAGCCCACACCTGTCTAACCGCGTGGTGTAGAGCCTTCCCGGCTCCGCTTTAACCCATTCCATTCTTCATTTATTGAAGGCTTCAGTTGGAATGAGCCAGGCCCAAAGATTTACCTTTGGAGAAGAGAGATGAACTTCTGGTAAGATTTCCTAGGTGTCTGTGAATCTGCTTGGGGCTGAGCTGTCTCCGTCCACCTGTGGTTGGTATTTCCAGAAACGACTGAATTCTTTTCTTCCCATTTAGAAGTTTAACTGTTCGTCTGTGGCCTCATGTTGGGATTTGAAAGTCAGACGTTTCTGCTGCTTCTCATTTCTCTAGGTCACTTTTCTGTTGCAAAGCCATCTTTCTCATCAGGTGGTGCAAACCTCCCTAAGCTGTCCCCCCTGCTCAGTGGAGTGTGTGTGCCGTGGTGATGCCAGCCCCCCCCCCCCCAATGTGGATGGCTCTGGAGAGTTTTCAGAGCAGATTTGCACATATTACCGCATCCCGTGATGTCGTCCTGGGCTGTTGTTGCTTCTGCCCTGAGTGTTTACTCACCGTTCTCACCCACTGGAATACTTTTCTTTCTTTTCCTATGGGTTTTGAGGATGCTAATACAGGGTTTGCTTTTTTTCTCCTTTATATATTCTTTTCCCCAGGGGCTGTAAGGGGCAAAGGAGAAAGCCTATATAAATGATGCTGTTTTCTGATGGCAAAGTGAAGATAACCTGAATGCTCTTTATAAGTCATCCCTGAGAATTATGTTCCACTTCCTCGGGCTCACACTGTCCTCAGAAGTACTGGAAACAGTGTATCTTAATGATTATACCTGCCCCCTTTGGTTCAATTGATGGAACATCTAGAATGGGGGGAAACTACAAGTTAGATCCATATAGTAGTTTTGTGGTTTTGGTTTCTTTGTTTGCTTCCTTTTGTTTTGTTTTGCTTCGTGTTTTTGCACTGACATAATTCATCCTCCCCATGGAGAAATAGTAACTTTTCATCAGCATCTTTTGTGTTCTCGGAATTATCTGGTTGCGTAGCACATCGCTTACAGAATAGAAGGCACTGAGGTTAAAGCCTATATATAAGATGGTTCTGAAACTGTTTAAAAGGTTTTCTTTAGAGCCTTTTAAATACTCCTTTAAAAAGGTTCCCTACAACTGACCACGTAATTCCCTGAACTCACTTCCAATTGCCCTCCCCATCCCATTTCCATCTCCAGGGTTCCAAATCTGTCTCCCTGTGGCTTCTGAACAATTCAGCAAACATCAGGTGCCTGTCGTGCCCCAGGCACTGTTCTAGGGGCTGGAGATACAGGAGTGAACTGACAGACAAAACAATGCTCACGGATAGCTGTATCTCTTGGGGTTGGAGAAGATAAGCCAAGTAAGTCTTCTGCATAGAAGCCCTACAGATTCTTGGAGACTGAACTCCTGGTCCCACGAGTCTTCACTCCAAGCTCATACTCCCGGTTTACCGGTGTAATACAGACACAAGTCCTTTCGCCATAGGGACCGGTTGTCTTTGGATGCATTCTACTTTTTGATACGGAATTGATTTTTAGTAGATTGATTTTTTTGAAGATTTTTTTGTTTGTTGTTATAAAGGCAGCATGCACTTGGAGACATTTTGGAAAATATGGATAAGTATAAAATAGGAAATCACCCATCATCCCATTACCCACTCTTAGAATGTTGCTATATTTCCTTCTTGTCTTTTCTAACTTGTATTTATCACTTTGTGTCCTGTTTTTTTTTCTACTTACTATTGGCATTTTTGCATTCATTATATTCATAAAGATCATTTAAGTGGTTACATAATTTTCCAGACAGATCTTTATCCTTTTTTTTTTTTTTTTTTAAGTAGAATTTCTGTGTCCGACGTGGGGCTGGTACTCATGACCCCAAGATCAAGAGTCTCATGCGATAGTGCCTGAGCCAGCTAGGTGCCCCCCCAGACAGACTTTTAAAGGTTAAGTCCTACAAGGCTAGTAAGGGTTCCTTAAGTGAGCTGCACTGCTTCCTTTTCGTGACGTTTCTAGCCTCCTAACCCACTACACTTTGAGTAATACTAGAGGTACATGGAAGCAAGGTGCGGGGCTCTATTATCTATCCCCTGTGGATTCTTCTAACTTGGATTATTCTTGATATGCTGCTTTTCTTTTTTCTTTTTCTGTTCGTTCTTTTGTGTTTCCTCATAATCATGCTCTGCCCATTTGTGTGGAGTGTGACATTGACTGTAGCTTTCTCGTTACTACAGGATTTCCAGTGCCATTTTCAAGGCTGTCGGCTGGGTTCAGTCTTGAGGAGTCGGTTGGAACCAGTTCTGCTGGTGAGACTAGGCCAGCACAGAGCTCACTCTTGTCCTTCGATTGCAGGCCTGCAGCTGAACCAGAAGGCGCTCACCACTTTCCCAGATGTGGTGCTCGTGCGCGTGCCCACCCCCTCGGTGCAGTCGGACAGCGACATCACGGTCCTGCGCCACCTGGAGAAGCTGGGCTGCCGCCTCGTCAACCGCCCACAGAGCATTTTAAACTGCGTCAACAAGTTCTGGACTTTCCAAGAGCTGGCTGGGCATGGGGTTCCCATGCCAGACACCTTCTCCTATGGTGAGTCTCCTTGGGCTTGGAACAGACCTTTCCGAACCACCTGCGTCTCTGTCTTTTCTCTCCTGCCAAAGCGCTCTAGTGTCCTGTTGGTTTTCAGTGTGAATTTGTTCATGTCAGGTGATTGAGCATCTCGAGTCTTCAACGCGGTCGCTCCCTGTGGCTGTAATTCACCGATGCCGCGTGCCTGCTCTGCGCACCATGTGCCCGCTCCCGAGCTGGGCGCTGGGCTGGAGCAGTAAGTGAGCGCATCCGGCCCGGAAGGCCCCCCCGGTTCATCAGAGGCGGGGGACAGCGAGTGGACAGGCAGCGCCAGGGCGGTGCCAGGATGCGTTAGTGCCAGGTGGTACGGGACACTCGGGACGGCTCCACATGCAGCTTCGGAGGTGGCGAGGGAGGTTTCCTGAAAGCAAGAATAGCTAGACTCAGCTGAAGTTATCCGGCGGGAGCAGCCGGGACAGGGGGGTAACCCAAGTGGAGAGCAGAATATAGATCGACCTAGACTCGAGTGAGAACGTGACCGCTGCGTGGTATTTTGAGTGGTCTGTAGATGTACAAGAGATGGAGTAGAGATGTAAGAGTAGCTTATATGGTATGTGAAGCAGATTAGGGTGAATCCTGAGATGTGTAGGGCGTTAAGCAAGGAGGTGGCCTGATCGGAGTGCAGAATATCACCTTGGCTGCACCAAGAAGAAGGCATCAGACAAGGGCAGAGTAGAGATAAGGTATGTGGCTTGGGCTTTTTAAGCTACCCAAGTGAGCCATGATGGTCTAAACTGAGGGGCCATAGTAAGAACGAAGATAAATGAACAGATCCAGGAATTACGAAGGAAACCGCAGTAATAGGACATGATGACTGGCTGGATATGAGGAATGTAGAAGGAATCAAGAGGGACTCTGGTTTCTGGTTTGGGCAGCCAGATGTGAAAGCAAACATTCATTGAGACTAGAAACATGGGAGAGGAGAAGCAGGTTGGTGGGTGGGGGGGGAGGGGTTATCAGGCAGAGAGGATTTCAGTTTGAGCACGTTCTTTTTGAGGCATCTGTAGTGTAAGCAAGGAAGAGTATTCTGTAGGCAGCAGATAAGTGGATCTGGAGCTCCTGAGAGAGGTGTAACCTAGGGAAGTGGATTTGGAAACCTTCATTACGTTAAGTGAGGTCACGAGAATGGATGAGATTGCTCAGGGAGAATATATAGAATGAAGAGAGGGCTGAACTGGACACCTTTTTATGGCAAATTTTATGTATATTTTACCACAATAAAAAATAAAATTCAGTGAGAGGGTTCAAGAGAGAACCCTTCAGAGAGCAGGTCTGGAAGAGGAACGTACACAGGAAAGCAAGCAGGAACAGCTGGTGAGGTGAGGAGGGAAAGAAGAGGTGACAGATGCAATGGAAAGAACATTCCAGGGTGGATGGTATAATTAAAAGTGTTGTCTGGTTCTGAAAGGACAAGTAACAGGAGTGCTGAGATGCGTGTTGGATTTAGCAACAGGGACTTGATGAGTACAGCTTCAGTTTAGTGATGGGGGAAAAGCCAAACTGTCAAAGGGCGGGGGGATGAATGAGAAGTGAGAAAATGCAAACCTGGTTGAGTAGCTCAATGGTACGGATACAAGCTTGTAGTTAAGAGATGATGCAGGGGCAAGGAATAGGGATTTTGTTTGTCAAAGATGGGAGAGAACCCAGCGTGTTTAAAATGGCAATGGAGGGGTGCCTGGGTGGCGCAGTCGGTTAAGCATCTGACTCTTGGTTTCGGCTCAGGTTGTGATCTCAGGGTCGTGAGGTTGAGCTGCATGTCAGGCTCCAAGCTCAGTGCGGAGACTCTTGAGACTCTCTCCCTCTCCCTCTGCCCCTCCTGCTCACGCTCTCTCTCTCATAAATAAATCATTTAAAAAAATAAAATAAAATGGAACTGGGAGGTTTGAAGACCCATCAGAGAGAGTACACTTAATGGTGCAAGATCCCCGAGGAGCTGAGAGGGAAGGGGTCTAAAGCCCAGGTGCAGGAATGGCCTTGGATAAGAAGGACTCCTCTTTCACTGTTTTATAGGGAAGGAAAAAAGGATAGCTAGAGAGGAGCTAAATATGTCAGTGGATGTCAGGAAGTTGGGAGTCCCCCCCTTTTTTTTAAGGAGATAAAAGTTTATTGAACACTGCAAGGGATCAGTGGGCAGGACAGCCAAGGAGAGACTGTCTGCCAGGAGGTAGTGGTGGGGAGCTGTAGTTAAGGGGGAGTGTGAGGGGATGGGAACGTGCGAATTTTCCTTTTTTCATTCCTGTGCCCAGTTGCAAGTAGCCCACTGGTGGGCTTATGGATATTTTAGGTGACCTAACAAGCCTATTTGCATTCAGCCAGGGGGTCACTATGGGCCCTTTTACCTTACTCAGGCTTCCGTTGCTCAAGCCTGTTGCCTAAAAGCAGTCTCTACATTCCCCTCTGACCAATCGATAGTGGCAAATCTTTGGCATTTGGGCAGAGGTCTCGTCTTCAGTGGCTTCTTCATGCCGGAGAATGGGCTATGCTGTCCCTGCCTAACCTTGTCGTCCATCAGGGGTTCTGTGCAGTTACAGACCAGAGCATGGTATTATATCAACAAGCGGTTCTGAGATTTGAATGAAATTCCTTGGTGGCCAGGTCCATGGGATTTAGGGGGAGGGGATCCTCCAAGGGTATGGGTGGGACCCTTGTTGAATCGTCATTTGTATATGGAATTGTTGGATTTACTCAGACATGTAGATACCCTTTTTGCCTGTAGATCAAGATGGCAGCTGGATCTGAGGAAACAAAGGGGAAAAAGGGGGCTGAAGAAGCAAGGTGGCTGAGAGTCAGGCAGCATCAGGAAAGGGTCCCAACTGAGTCCCTAGTGTGTGTGGATTCATTCTGGACGACCTTCTGCTGCCAGTTGCACCTCAGGTTGGAGACCTCAGGGGGATGGAGCGTGAGAGGAGAGGAAAAGGGTCCTTTGTCCTCACAGGCCCGGGCCGTCCGAGACCGCATGGGGAGCTGCCCTGGCCAGAGACCTTCAGCTGTCTCAGGAAGACTGGGGTTAGACCGCTGAAGGGCTGAAAAGAGAGGAGAGGGAGGGAAGGATCCCTCCAAAGGGCAGGAGGGGAAGTTCCTCACCCTTTTGGGTGAGGGCAGTCTGGCGGCTTCCCCTGGGGCTTCGGATCCTCACTGAGGAGCAACCTCCCCTGGAAGTCATCAGTTCCCCAAGGAGTACTGGAGCCAATCCACTGAGGGATCTCGGAGAATCCGGGGAGAGTCCTGGGCTCCCGAATGTGGGGCGTCCCAGTCAGATGGGGGCGGGTGGCACGGGCTGTGGAAGGATCCACCCCAGGCAGAACAAAGCAGATAGAAATTTATTGAGTACATTGCTAAGGAGCAGCTGGCTCGACGGCGAAGGGGAGACTGTCTGCAGGACTTCTCTTCTGTTTTTTTTTTTTTTTAAGATTATTTATTGGGGCGCCTGGGTGGCTCAGTCATTAAGTATCTGCCTTCAGCTCAGCTCATGATCCCAGGGTCCTGGGATCGAGTCCCACGTCGGGCTCCCTGCTCAGCGGGGGGCCTGCTTCTCTCCCTCAGCTGCTCCCTCTGCTTGTGCTCTCTCTCTCTGTCTGTCAAATAAATAAATAAAATCTTTAAAAATATATATAAAGATTTATTTATTTATTTGAGAGAGAGAGAGTAGGGGGAGGGGCAGAGGGGAGAATCTGAAGCAGACTCCCCACTGAGTGCGGGGTGCAAGATCTCACGACCCATGAGATCAGGGACTGAGACGACGCTTAGCTGACTAAGCCACCCAGGCGCCCGAGGGGTTCCCTTCTGATAAAGTGTACTCTTTGTGCAGATGCCCCTGATGATGGACACAGCCTCACCGTGGTTCTGTTTTCATCTTTAACACTTGGCTGAACCACAGCCATTTTACTGGGAAAAATTCCTGCCCTGCCTATAGGGCTATTAGGAGGATTACGTGGGCTCAAGCCTGTGAGGCCTTTGCCACATTCACGTACTTGATCAGTGTGGGTTTCCTTCTCTCTCTACTCCCACGTACGTTACAGGTGCAAGATACATGTCTGTCGGATGGACTGGGCTTGAATTGCTTTAATCGGAGGAACATGAGGCCTTGAAAGAATTCGCACAGAGGGGGCCGTGCTGGGCAGACCACTCCCGAGCCTCAGCCTGACCTTCACTGACTTTCACCTTCTCTTGGCAGGTGGGCACGAAGACTTTTCCAAGATGATCGATGAAGCTGAGCCCCTCGGCTACCCGGTCGTGGTGAAGAGCACGCGAGGACATCGGGGTCAGTGCTGCTCCTCCTGGCTTCCGTTAGGACCGCACCTCTGCTGATTAGAGAAGTGGGGCGCCCCCTCACGGGGCTCGCGGTGTCGTCTGTCCTTCTGTCCCCTCCTTGCTGCCCCCACTGTCCTTGCTGCGTCAGACCCTTCTCGTTCACTCCCTGGACTCGGCAGCAGACTCCTGACTTGACCCTGACTGGTCTCCCTACCCCAGTGCCAGCGCGGCCTCTCCTTCCGAAACATCTGTCCTTACTCCTCCACCAACAAGCACTTCCAAGAGCCTTGTTGCCTCTTAGACAAAGTCTGTATTCCTCGCCATAGCACTGAAGGCCCTGCAGCTGCACCCTTCCTTTGCACTCTCCATCGTCCACTGCAGACTACTTCTCCTTCACTAGCTCGACCATGTATTTTCTGTTCTTTAAACCTCTGTCCTCTTCCCTTCACTGGCAGTGCCATCTTCCTCTGGTCTCTGGTGAACCTCCGCTCACCAGTAAAGGCCAGCTGCCCCCCACATCCCTGGCCCCCCTCCCTCTCTGCGCGCTCTTCCTTTGGGTTTCCGTGGCACTTTGCCCACGCCTCTAGCGTAGCACTGCCCTTTATGACAGCTGCAAGGGCGTGTGCCTCTCCCCCTGGCTGGCTGGGCACTGCTCAGGGGCGGGAACCCGGTCCCCAGCCTCTCTGTCCCGGGGACCTGCCGCAGCGCTCGGTGTAGAGCGGGGACTGGTAACGGAGAGGAGCCTGCATGCAGCAGGAAGTCCTCCCGCAGCGTGGGGGCAGGTGCTCCCTGATGCGACCCAGGGGGCACACTTCCACGCTCAGGGCATCTGCAGTGAGGGGAGGCCCCCGAAACAGACAGGTGCTGAGCAGTTCCTGTGCTGGAGGGACTGGGCAGTGAGATGGGCTAGACTCGGTCACTGCTCTTAAGCTACAGCGTGCAGGGAGTAGAGACGGTTGCGTTGCAGGGTGACATCCTCTGTGGCAGGCTGGCCCAGCGCCTGCTTGCGCCTGACAGAGGGGGCCAGCTCGGCCACTAGGCAGGGAAGGCCTCACTGGAGGAGGAGACTTCAGTTGGAGTGTGGAATTCAAACTGGAGGAAGTAAGTAAGCGAACATATGGAAGCAGGTGTGAGCAAAGCAACCTGTGGGAACCAAGGGTTCCTGTTGAGGAGAAAGAGGAATGAGTTTGGGGGGCAAGGTGGGCCCCTTAATGCCATTCAGATAGATATGCTACAGTGCTAAAGTTCGATGTCTAATTTTTTTTATTGTGCTAAAATATACGTAATTGAGAATTCAACTAATATTTGAGTGGCCACAGAGTGCCAGGCACTGTTCAGGCTCTGGGGATACAGAAAGGAACAAAACAAATCTCCTGTCCTCAAGGAGCTCTCATTGTAGAAGGGTAAGACAGATAATAAATGGAAATTAAATAAAATACATGGTATTTTCAAACATTTAAAAAATTGAGATGTAGGGGTGCCTGGATGGCTCAGTCGGTTAAACATCCAACTCTTGATTTCGGCTCTGGTCATGTTCTCAGGGTTATGAGATTGAGCTCTGTGTCAGGCTCCATGCTGAGCGTGCAGCCTGCTTAAGATTCTCTCTCCATGTTGCCCCACTCCCGCTTCCATGCTCTCTCTCTAAAAATAGAAAAATAAAAAAATTTAAAAATTGAGATGTAATTCACATAACAGTTCACCATTTTTAAGAGTACAATTTAGTGAATTTTAGTATATTCACTATTGTGTACAACCATAGCCACTATTTCATTTTGGAACATTTCCATTCCAGAAGAAACCCTGCACCTATTAGGGGTCAATCACACTTGCCTTCCCTGGACTCTGGTAACCACTAGTCTATTTTCTGTTTCTATGGATTTGCCTATTTTGAACATTTCATATCAGTGGAATCATCCACTATGTGACCTTTTGTGTCTGGCTCCTTTGACTTAATGTGATGTCTTCATGGGCCATCCCTGTTGTAGCGTGGATCCATACTGCATTCCTTCTGATCCCTCAACAATAGTCTGTTGTGTGATAGCCCACATTTTGTTTATCTGCTCATCAGCCGATGGACATCTGAGTTGTTTCCACTTTGTGGCTGTTAGGAGTAATGCTGCTATGGACATGTGTGTACAAGTTTCTATGTGGACATATGTTTTCATTTCTCTTGGGTACCTACCTAAACCTGGAATTGCAGGGTCAGATGGTAACTCTATGTTTAACCTCAGAGGAACTACCAAACTGTTTTCCACAATGGTTATGTCATTTTATAGGCCCACCAGCAGTGTGCAAGGGTTCTGATTTCTCTTCATCCTCCCTGATCCTTGTTTTATTCATTCACTCCTTTATTTATGATTGGTTTTCTTTTTTGGAGTACTAAATAAAACTTTTTGATTGTATATATTAATTTGAACGTTTGTAGCCTGAAAAGTGGGCAGGCCTAACTCTTAGAATATACGTATATGGGGGCGCCTGGGTGGCTCAGTCATTAAGCATCTGCCTTCGGCTCGGGTCATGATCTCCAGGGTCCTGGGATTGAACCCTGCGTCGGGCTCCCTGCTCCGCGGGAAGCCTGCTTCTCTCTCCCCCCTGCTTGTGTTCTCCTTTTCCCTCTCCCCTGCTTGTGTTCCCTCTCTCGCTGTGTCTCTCTCGATCAAATAAATAAATAAAATCTTAAAAAAAAAAAGAATATACATATATGAATGTCCTCTTTGCCTTGACAGATTAAGCAAATAATCACCATACTTCCACCATAAAAGCAAGACACAAGCCAAAATACATGTTTCCCAAGCATTAGTAATGTAGGGCCCCACTTTATTTATTTATTTATTTATTTTTAAAAAAATTAATTAATTTATTTATTTGAGAGAGAGAGAGAGAAACAGCATGAGAGGGGATAGGGTCAGAGGGAGAAGCAGGCTCCCCGCTGAGCCGGGAGCCCGATGTGGGACTCGATCCCAGGACTCCGGGATCATGACCTGAGCCGAAGGCAGTCGCTTAACCAACTGAGCCACCCAGGCGCCCTATTTATTTATTTTTAAATGAATTTTTAAAATCTTTTTTGAGGTCTAATTGATATAATGATTCAATATTTGTATACATTGCAGATTGGTCAGCACAATAAGTCTAGGTAACATCCATCACCGTACAGAACTTTTTTCTTATGATGAGAAATTTTAGCAATTTGCGAATACGTGATTTGTTTTTATTATCACCATCCCAGTGGGTGGAAGGAGGCATCTTATCGTGGTTTTGCTTTCTGTTTCCCTAATGATTAGTGATGTTGAGCATCTTTTCATGTGCTTATTGGACATTTGTAGATCTTTGGACAATTGTTTATTCAAATCCTTTGTCCGCTTTTCAGTTGGGTTATTGGTGTTTTTATTGCTGAGGGTTTTTTTTCCTTTTTAAAGATTTATTTATTTATTTTGTGGGGGACAGAAGGAGAGGAAGAGAGAATCCTAAGCAGACTCCATGCTGAGTGCAGAGCCCAATGCAGGGCTTAATCTCACAACCCTGAGATCACGGTCTGAGCCAAAGCCAGGAAGAGTTGGATGCTCAACCAGCTGCGCCACGCAGGCACCCCTTTTGATGGCTGAGTTTTTAAGAGTTCACAACATATGAACATAATTTGAACATGTTTTTTCCCCACGCTGTAGGTTCTCTTTTTACTTTCTTGGTAGTATCCTTGGATGTACATAAGGTTTGATTTTGATGGAGTTCAATTCATCTGTTTTTTCCTTTGGTGGCTTGTGCTTTTAGATGTCATTTTGTGGCTACTTAATCTAAGATCACACAGATTGATACTTGCATTTCCTTGTAAGCGTTTTACAGTTTTAGCTCCTACCTTTGGGTCTTTGATCCATTTTGAGCTAATTTTTGTATATGGTGTGATGAAGGAATCCATCTTCCTTCGTTTGCATGTGGATATCCAGTTTTCCCAGTATTATTTGTTGAAGACTATTCTTTCCTCCATTGGATGTTTTTGTAACTCTTGTCAAAAAGCACCTGACCGGGGCACCCAGGTGGCTCAGTCGTTGGGCGTCTGCCTTCGGCTCAGGTCATGATCCCAGGGTCCTGGGATCGAGCCCCACATCAGGCTCCCTGCTCTGCAGGAGGCCTGCTTCTCCCTCTCCCACTCCCCCTGCTTGTGTTCCCTCTCTCACTGTGTCTCTCTCTGTCAAATAAATAAATAAAATCTTAAAAAAAAAGCACCTGACCATCTGTGTGAGGATCTACTCTGGGCTCTCAGTTCTATTCCATTGATCCGTATGTCTATCATCTTATGGCAGGCCACACTGTCTTCATGACTGTAACTTTGTAGTAAGTTTTGCAATTGGCAAGTTGGGCTCCAACTTTGTCCCTTTATTCTTTTTTTCTTTTCTTTTTTTTTTTTAAAGATTTTATTTATTTATTTGAGAGAGAGAATGAGAGAGAGAGAGAGCACATGAGAGGGGGGAGGGTCAGAGGGAGAAGCAGACCCCCTGCTGAGCAAGGAGCCCAATGTGGGACTCGATCCCAGGACTCCAGGATCATGACCTGAGCTGAAGGCAGTCGCTTAACCAACTGAGCCACCCAGGCGCCCGCCTTTATTCTTTTTTTCAAGATCGTGTTGGATATTTGGGATCCTTGCCTTTCCATATGAATTTTAGGATCAGCTTGTCAACTTCTGCAAAAAAGGAAGTTAGACTTTTGGTGGGGACCGTGCAGATCAGTTGGAGGAGTGTTGCTGTCTTAATACAATATGAAGCCGTCTCGTCCCTGAACATGGGACATCTTTCCATTTATTTAGCTCTTTAATTTCTCTCAAAAGTGTTTTGTAGTTTTCAGTGGTAAGTCTCGTACTTCTTTGGTTAAATTTGTTCCTAATGTTTTTTTCCTTTTGATACTCTGGTAAATGGGATTGTGTTCTTAATTTCGTTTTCAGGTTGTTCATTGCTAGTGTAACACATAGTATCTTAGGGAAAATGGATGGGGAGTAAACAAATTACAGTGGTAGTTAGACCCTAGTACATGGAAATGAATCTAAAGAAGGAAGTGGAATGGTATGGGCTGTGCCCTTGAGAAAGGTACTAATCTTGTAGACCTTTATTTCCCTCTACTGTAAAACAAAAATAACTATTCTGTCCTAATGGCTTCATAGGGCTAATATGAAGTGTAAATGAAATAATAAAAAAACAAGGTGTTTGGCACACAGGGCAGATGATCCCCCTCCCCCTTTTTCCTCTGTGCCTGAACACTGTAGCTCCTTTAGTAATTGCAGACTAAGCCCCATATTAGAACCTTCCACCTGCCAGGAACCAAGGAACCAAGTCCCTATATCGAGCCCCCATCTCTGCTGAAAATCCTGCCTAATATCCAGGGAACCCCCAGTGCCTATACTTGAATCCCAGCCATCTGTGGTCAGATGCCAGATCTCCTGGTGCCAAATGTTCAGTGATGGAGACATGTGTTGGGGGGTTACTTCTCAGTCTTCTATGCCACTAGGCGCTGATACCCATCACTCTTTTTATTAAGACTTCAGAAGGGTCCCACTCCTTATAACGTGGTGACACAAATCTTAGGAAAACCATCTCTTTGTTCCAAATTTGCTAACAAGAAGGCTCAGACTGGGTGTGCTCATGTCAGATTTGCAGAGTGAACTCATCAGGAACTCCTGCTCAGATCTGTCAGCTAATATGCAAATGGAAAAGCAGAGGCTCAATAATTATAAAAGCACTGGTGATTCAAGCCGAAAAGGAAGGATTTGGAGTCAAGAAGGAATGCTTTCCCTAGATAGCAATAGAACTATAGATCATTCCTTTTAGAATTAAACAGGTATAGCCAGATAATAAGTTTCTTAGGTTTAAAAGGAGGAGGGAGTCTTTCAGGGGCTCCCTCTTTGAACTCCCATATCATTTGCGTATACCTCTCTTAATGCTCTATCATGCTGTATCGTAGTTACCTTTTGTGGGTCTCTCTCTACCTAGCCTTGGAATTCCTCTAAAGTGTGTTCAGTTAATTATGTTCTGTAAACATGGATTTGACACCTGCTTTGTACTTCGAGCCCAGTGTGAGGTTTGGGGGATTAACAAAGTGGGTTAGAGATGGACTGGGCCTAATCAGCATCCTGGGGTGATAGGAGATGCTGACTGCTTTTGGAACTGAACTGACTAATCCTTAGGATTTTATTTTGGCCTCTCCTCTGTGTTTCTGTAATACATTATTATTCCATCCTGAAAAAAGAGTTGTGGTAGAGGGAGAGGGGCGTGAGTAAAACCAAGAGAAAATAAGGTTCGGCGGCCATTTGATAAGAAGCAAGAGTTTGGTCAGAGAAACAGAAGGGGCCGGGGTAAGGCAAGTTCAGAAAGAACCGACAGCTGTATGGGACAGGGAGATGGGAGGGCAAGGACTCAGCTCGGAGGCTTCTCTTAACCACTCCTCCTGCTCTTTGTCTTTCTTCTTAAAGGAAAAGCTGTTTTTCTTGCAAGAGATAAACATCACCTCTCAGACATCTGCCATCTGATCCGCCATGATGTGCCCTACCTGTTCCAGAAGTATGTGAAGGAGTCACACGGCAAAGATATCCGGGTGGTGGTGGTAGGGGGCCGGGTGATAGGCTCTATGCTTCGCTGCTCCACAGATGGACGGATGCAAAGCAACTGCTCTCTCGGTAAGGTATAAGAGCTCACAGTCCATTTTTTCACTAGGGGTTTTTCATTAGGATGTTTGCACCCATTCAGTAAATGTGGATCGATCCCTCCTATCTTGTCAAATCCTCTGCTGGGCTCCAGGATCACAGATAAGAATTAGAAACAAGCCCTGTCCTGTCACCGCAAGCAGCCCAGGAAAGGGTCAGACTGGTGTGGGTGCTGTGACAGAGGTCAGGCCTGGGTATCAGGACACTGAGATTGAACCCTGTCTGGTAGGTGTTGGGACTCAGCAGCCAGGTTTAAACCAGGGAGTGACATGAGGATCCGTGTTTGAGAAGAACTGACACGTGGGTAGAGGAGGGATTGAAGGCATGAGACAGGAGGCAGAGGAGTTCGGAAGGCAAGAAATAAAGAGCGTCTACACTGAGGCAATGAAAGAAGATAGAGTGTATTCTGCTTTTGCATTGTAATTGAAGACTGTGTTTTTCTTAATATGTATGATATAATTAGAAAGCTGCAGTTTATATTTGGATCAAATGCATAACCCCGTCCCATGAACCTGTTGTTTATCTTGTTTTCTGTTACGGTGAGTGGAGATGTCCCAGGAGAGATATAAATTCTTGTCCCCATCACAGAAAGCTGTTGTCACCCTCACTGAACGAATGTGTATGTTGGTAATGTGAAAAGAGAAAAATGCGCACGGTTACATCCTAAATGGCCCTGTGAGTGTACCAAGGCTAGTGAGTAGTACAGAGGTGGAGACACCAGCTCGGTCCTTCCTTCACTAATACCAGTCGAGCAGTTGCCACAAGCGGACTCGATGAGAGCGCAGTTAACGGCAGAGTCCCTGCTCTGGGACAGCTTATGGTCTGACAGAGGACAAGACCCGAAAGCAGATCATTGCAAGACACTGTGATGTAGTGCTGTGATGGGGGCAGATACTAGGCTCAGGCTGACACGGTGCTAAGTACTCAATATCTCATTTTCGTGTATGGCGCCCCACCAGGTGGAACCTCAGGTATTATGTTGTCTTTTTTAGTCACCATATCAGATGCATTCTTTAACAAGGTAGGAACCAGATGGTTTTGCCATTTCCCCATGTTGCTTTTCCTGGTGAGCTAGTCTGAAACTCTTCTGTAGCCTTTTCCTTATACATTCTAACAGGTGGGGAAGGGACAGTGTTAAGGTGAAGGCATTCGCTGTTGGACCTGAGAAGACAGGTCTTAAGTCTTTCCAGGGAGACTGTTAAACCTGAGGTTAACTCTGTAGTAGGTAAGGGCAGTCAGACTCTCTTTGGCATAGGATTTTGTCTCATAAGCCTTTCCATCTCCCTCTTCCTAAAACATAACATTAATTTATTTTACAGATTTATTTACTCTTTTAGAGGTGGGGGGAGGGGCAGAGAGAGAGAATCCCAAGCAGACTCCGTGCCGAGCGTGGAGCCTGGCACTGGGCTCAGTCCCACGACCCTGAGATCACGACCGGAGCCGAAATCAAGAGTCCGATGCTTAACCGACTGAGCCACCTAGGCGCCCCAACGTAATGTTAATTTTGCTTTTTCTGTACAAAAGGAATCCATTCTCATGTAGAAAATGTTGAAAACACGGCAAAGTCCAGTGAAAAAGATATTTATCATTAATCCCACCTTTTAAAGACAGGCATTGTTAACATTTCTGTATTGTTCTTTCCGGCATCATCTTTTTGTACAGTCGTGGTCATGCTGCACAGTCTCAAATCCTTCCAAGTATTTTTCCATGGGATCACCAATGCTCTACGAGCATTATTATTCACGATTGTAAAATATGCTGCTTTCCTCTATTGCGAGATATTTGTAGTTTTTCATTTACTTAGCAACAGATGCTGAGTGAGTGCCTATTATGTCCCAGGATTTTGATTTTCCAGTATCTTAAATAACCCTGCCATCAACATCTTGGTGCCTAAAGCTTTTTTCCATTACATAAGATTATTTCCTTAGTGGTAGGTCAGAGGAAATAAACATTTTAAAAACTCTTAGATAAGAAGTGACCCTATTGTTTTCCCAAAGGGCGTCCTCTGATTTCCAAGCAGATCTTCTGTCTCCCTGCCCATCCTCAGTGTGGCTCCGTCTCTTCTTTGAAGGGTCGTTGTGCCCTTGGTGTCTGAGGTCACCATGATGTCGCTGTGCTTTCCCTGCAGGCGGTGTGGGCGTCATGTGCCCGCTGACAGAGCAAGGCAAGCAGCTGGCCATTCAGGTGTCCAACATCCTGGGCATGGACTTCTGTGGCATCGATCTCCTCATCATGGACGATGGCTCCTTTGTGGTGTGTGAGGCAAATGCCAATGTTGGCTTCCTAGCCTTCGACCAGGCGTGCAATTTAGATGTGGGTGGCATCATCGCGGACTACACCATGTCCTTGCTGCCCAATAGGCAGACTGGCAAGATGGCTGTCCTCCCAGGACTGTCCAGTCCCAGGGAGAAGAAAGAGCCAGATGGCTGCGCTTCAGCTCAGGGAGTTGCGGAGAGCGTCTACGCCATCAACAATGGGTCTACCTCTAGCGAGAGTGAGCCTGAACTGGGAGAGATCCGGGATTCCTCAGTGAGCACAACGGGGGCCCCGCCCCCCATGCTGCCCGAACCCGGCTACAACATTAACAACAGGATTGCTTCAGAATTAAAACTTAAGTGAATTCCTGCTTTTTGGCAGCATTGAAACCAAATCCTACTGCTTCCCTATAGTTTTGAGTGGATAAAATCCGGACTAATGTGATTTCATTTGCACAGAAACTAGAAAATCCCATCTGGGCACTCAGCATTCTTTCTAACGACGATTTAAGCAAAACGGCTTAGCTTTGTGGTTTTTACAGAGACTAATATAAAAACACTCACCAAGAGCAACATCCCGAGCGATCGACTTGAGACCGACGTCTGCTGCGAGCACTTGGATGCTAGGGCTGACTTTTAAGGCGCTGCCAGGGGCTGCTGCTTCTGGCTGTTTCCAGCAGAGCCCATGAACTCAGACCGCCTCCCGGAAGTGCTGCACTCGGGAGCCAGCCCCGGAGGCAGGCGGGGGCGGAAGAGAAGGAATGTGACTGCGGTTACACGGCTCTTCGCTAAGTGTGTGTGTGGGATGCTTGAAGAATACGCGGTTCAGTCTCTGCTCCCCGTCAGTCACCATCCTGGCCATATTCCTCTGACACTCAGGATGTGGTGTTTTAGGGAGCTTCCTCATTAGCATTTTCGATGAAGCACTTTGTAGAAAGTTTGAGACCGATCGTTATTTGACTTCACCGGTTGGCAGATACCCTGCTGCGTAGCTGGGGCTTTCTACAAATTGCTTTGCCACTCCGAACTTACAGACCCTGCTTCAACTAACGCCAGCCCCAGCAGCCTCTTGCACCTTTGCTGCCTTTGGCCTCAGCTGGAAATGCACTTCAATGAGCTAGGGGCCACACACTTTATTTCTTACGTGTGCACTAGAATTGAACGCCATGGACTTTCTTGTCAGTGGACTCTGTTCATTTGTCATCCAGAAGCCGGTGGGTTTTTATCATAGAAATCTACTGGAAGATAATCATTTTCCCCCTTCTCTCCTAAAACTTTGTGTACTGCTTAGCTGTAGAAGGTGTTCTTGTATGCGCTGGTGTTGTGGGCCTACTGGGTAGCTAGAGCCATCGGAAACACACTCTCATCCCCTCAACATTCTAGTCCTAGCCAGGTTCCAGAGACCTGTCCTTACCCACTTTTTCCAAACTGGGGAGACTCAGGAATTACTCATTGCACGTTTAGGGGGAGGAGGGGCTGGATAACGTAGACAGGACACCAAGTGCTTTTTATTGTAACTCTTTAAGCAGTAGATGATGATCCTTCCCTTGGGTGAATTCATGGAGATGGAGTTTTCCGTTTCTGCTTATATGAAGTATGATGAGAATGAGCAAGGCTCCCTTTTTAACCAAATACACTAAAACATAAGCACTCAAGAGTTACCATAATCTGTGTTATTTCCTTGGGAGACCGTACTCTTGAGCTGTGATACTGCATGTGCTGAGAACAGACAGAATTCCTCTTTGGAATTATCTCTGAAGCCATGCAAGGAAAGAGGCCTCACAGCCTTATAGTCAGACTTCAGTTTTTATACCACTCCTCCCCACAGGTGGTCCCAAGCTCCATCACCCATTTTTATCTATCAGACTTATCTTCTAATGCTCTTTGGCTTAAATAAAAAATAAAAAATCGTCCCTCAAAACATAAATCTACCCACAAAGGACAACAATGAGGAAGCTTACAAGTGGACAGTTTCCAAGGAAGGCTCTAGAAATAGTCTGAGTCAAGGTCAGCTTCACTGACTAAACACACATCTTCCCAAGGTGACTAGTTTGAGGCAGCAACACCCATTTGGGTGTCTAAATTCCTGTACTTACTCTGCTGTAAATGTAAAATGTGTATAAAGTCAAAACTATTACATTTTTTCACAACACATTTAAATAGAAATTGGCTTTTAAAATATTGTGGCTAAAAGCACATCTCACCAAGTTAACACTTAGACAATTGAAAAACGTTTGGCTCCATGTAATGGAGATATTGTACTACACAATTGTAGTTTAAATGCAGTCGAACCGAGGGTGCATGCCACTCCGTAGTAACTCTAGTAATGTGTCTTGTACAGTTGACACACGATACTACTTCACCTTTATGCAGGTTAAGACATTTACCTTATCTTTACCACTCAGGGTGGGTTTAGAAGGATAGTTCTAGGTCTGTTCTTGTTGGAATTGTCCATATGCTTTCTACGTAAACATCTGAACCAAGTGATGACCTTCTGGAAGCTGCATGCACTCATTCCCACTGTTCAGCGTAAGCCCAGTCTCCCCACTTTATCTAAAAGGATGCTAGCAGGCCCTGTCCCGAGCAGAGCAGCTAGAGGGTGCTTCCAGGTTTGTCAAAGAGGGCCCGTCTTCCAGCTGTTAGTGACGTCTATAGTCATGGGCACCACTGCTTGAAACGGAGCCCAGCCTGGAAGCAGAGAAAGCTAGATCACACCTGGATCACAGCTCCCGCCTCCCTGCATAGCCCCCCTCCCCCCCCCAGATTTCCCATACCCGCCACGGGCCCTGTGAGCCTTGGTCATGGGTCTAGGCCACACTCATTACAGCTGCCCGCAAGGCCTGCTAGAAGGAACGTGGGACACAGAGCCAGTTCCTGGTTCTGGCTCTCCCCTTAAAGCGCTGACAACCTTGCACAATCAGGTAGGCTCTGCCTCCCGTTTTTCCATTCTTCCAATAGGGGAGATGCCTGTTTACCTCTTGAGGGTGCTTTGAGGTTGAAGTGAGTTAATTAATGAGACTGTGCATCATGTGGGAAGTGGTAGAAGAATACCTCCCACATCAGGTTTTATAAGTTTCGCATTATCCCTCCTCTGAGGGAGTCAAGAAAGAAAGAGGCCTTGAATTCTTGGCATTAGCACACTAAACAGTGGTAGGGGGCCTGAAAAAGGATGCAGCTTCTCAGAGGCCTTACCACCTGAAAGGAGTAAGGCTCTCGGGTGAGTTCACACAGCCTTCTGGATGTATCGTATATAACCTGAAACTCCTGACTCTCCTACATCAACTAACAGTCTTCCTTATGTAACATAATTTGCAGTGTCTGTATATGGTCTTCCCATTACCTGACAGTAGCATCTTGAAACTGGTCAAAACTTGAATGCCAATAGCTCCGTCACTCAGAATATATATGATTCTGCACTTGGGAAAAATGTCTTCATGCTATCTGATTGCTGCGGGGTGTGGGTTTGCGAGAATGTGGGTTGGGGGCTTTAGATCTTTAAAATCTGATGAAACGGTGTAAGTGGATTATAAGCTCTTCCTGTCACCATTGCAGACTCATTGCTCCCAGCTAAGAGGGGATTCTGTGACAACTGGGGATGGGGTGAGGAGAAAAGGGAAGGAGAAAGGTCTTGGATAGTTTTGTGACGTTTCAGCAGAAGAAATAAGAAATTGGGATAATTTGGAATTCCAGGGGGAAGGAAGAAGAAATGGCTCTTCTGGCGGTTGTTTAAATGAAAGAATCATGCACACGTATTCATTAGAGGTAGGGGTCTTTGAAACTTCTGCATAAAGAAAATAAATTACGTGGATTCTCATCGGCCTTGGGGAAGTGGGAGAGACATGCCTCAGCACTTCCTTAAGTCCTGATGAATGCTGGTCTTGATGCAAGTCCAGGGGAGATGGAGGCAGCTTGCTGGGGGCTCCAGGGCCCCCCAAGTAACGGCTGGCCCTTCTGCAGAAAACCATGTGCAGGCAGGCCTGCAGCCGCAGTGCTCTGAGGTGGGTCTAAGGAGCCACGTCAGCGTGAATCCAAAGCCAGTAGAACAGGGAAGCTCAGCTTAATACTTTCTTTTGCACCTGCAGGTGAGGCTTCTATTTGCTGTCAGTCTGTGCAGATGTTTGGGGATGAGCCCTGACAACAGTCATCTTTGTCACTGTCCCCAAAGCTCATGTTTTTCCATCTGCTGCTACAGCCTAATAGCAAGCCTCGTGCTGTTTTTGACTTTCTCTGAGACTCGAGATCAGATCATGACTTTAAAATGCTTTTACTTGGAAGGCCCCCTCCCCCCCCATCTCAGGACTATGTTGTTGGAATCGTTCCCGAAAACCATATTATGCTTCCATTCCAAGTCTCTGGCCAGACCCTGCAGCCCTCCCTTCTTAAAACACACAGCTGAGTACGACAACTTTGTTCCTTCAAGCTTTTCAGCTTCCTTCTCCGGGTGTGGTTCCCGTGCCAACATGTGGCACTCTCCTGGGCCCTGTGCTGGCCTCCCCAACCCTGTTTGGTAGTCTCGCTGTGCCATTTTGTGTTCACTGGGCTCCGAGGTGACACTGAGAAAGTCACCCACCAGGCCAGATTTGTTTTTTTAATATTTTATTTATTTGAGAGAGATCGAGAGCGAGCAAGCATGAGCGGGGAGGAGGGGCAGAGGGAGAGAGAGAAGCAGACTCCCCGCTAAGCAGGGACCCTGGGATCATGACCTGAGCCTGAGGCAGATGCTTAACCAACTGAACCACTCAGGCGCCCCATCAAGCCAGATTCGAGGACAAAGGAATAACAGCACTCTGGACACCAATTCAGTCCCCCCATTTTATAGACGGAGGATCTGAATCCCAGAGGCCAAGATCACTTAGCTAGTCAGCAGCAGGGCTGGGACGCGGGCAGCCGAGTCCCCATTCTGGTTTAGCATACTGCCAGAGGTGGCTCTGTTCTCCCATGGTGCCTAGCACTTGCTGTCATGCTGGACTCCCCCTCTGCCCTTTCTCCCGCCGAGCCTCTGCTCTGGATCCACGTGGTGTTGATGTGCCAGCTCTGAAGGCTTCACCTCTTGGATGGCCTTAAATGAGAGCCCTAGAGGCACATACGAGATTTCTAGGGTGCAAGCTGGCATATGGCCTGTGCCCTCAGACCGGCCAAGACCATTTAGCCCCACCTTACACCATCAGTGGTCGATGAGGGGGCAAGGCCCCTACCGAGCTGGCTGAAGGCTCCCTTGGTGCCAACTTGGCTAGCATTTCCCCACTGCAGAATGTCTTGGATGTGTGGAGGCCTTTGTGGGCCTCCGTGGAGGTCAAGGGCTTGAAGGTCCCAAACTTCTGCCATCGGGCACTCCTTCAGGGGGATCCTGTTTGATGCACATGTTCCAACTGCAATGAGCCACAAAGTCAAAAGTGTCCTCCCACTTCCGTTCCACAGCGCATTCACCTGCAGCCAGCCACTAGGCCAGATTCTTCCGTCTTGAGGCCCATACGTCAGCCGAGGCCCACATAGCCCTTGAGATCCAGGCACGTCCGGTAACTGGGCCTTTGGATGTCTGTGATCTCTAAGGCGCTCACGTTTTGGCCGCCACAGCTGATGCCAGACTTCTGCTACCTCATTTTAAGCAACGATGGGGTCTCCTCCCTGTGGTCCATCAATGACATGAAGATCAGTTCTCCCATTTCCACACCCAACAAAGTTCAAATGCACCAGTGTGTGTGGGCACATGTGTGTTTCAGTGATGTGGGAGGAAACAAAGACATTACAGCAATGCAGACACGGTACGCCCTTCGTAAAGTGTTCTTTGGATACACCACTGAGGAACCCATCACCTACACCCCACAAGTACCTGTCTCCCTACTTGGGACAAACCAAATCCGTTTACGTTCTACTGTACAGCAGTATGGCCAGTCCTTTTCTTCTTCTTTTTTTTTTTTTTAGATTTTACTTATTTATTTATTTGAGAGAGAGAGTGCACGAGAGGGGGTAGGGTCAGAGGGAGAAGCAGACTCCCCGCCGAGGAGGGAGCCCGGTGTGGGACTCCATCCTGGGACTCCAGGATCATGACCTGAGCCGAAGGCAGTCGCTTAACCAACTGAGCCACCCAGGCGCCAGCCAGTCCTTTTCTTAACTTGATTCCTGCCAATGCCCTTACCTTTGAGATTTCCCCTTCCCTGATGAGTGGCTTATTAAAGGCATTTTCTTAAACAAAGATGGCTCCCTCAAGAGGAACTCTCAAGGTGATACATTTTTGACTCGCACTATGTTACCCAGGCATCGCAACAACCAGAGTCCCGCCCGTCAGGGTCTTCACGCTCTGTGGCAGGCAACACGGACTAATGTCAATAATGCCAGTTTGAGTTAGACATCCCCGGTGCCAATCCTGACTCCAAAACCTATAGCTCATGTGACCTCGGGAGAGTCGCTTCATCTTGCCACACCTTCGTTTCTTTACCTATAAACGTGATAAGTAAACACAGTCGTGAATGTGAAGCACTGAGCCACATGCCTAGCTTTCCGCAGCGTCCTTCCCACTGTCAGCAGTCACAGGCGGCTCGTGCCCGTGATCGTGGCTCGGGGCCAAGGGAGGAGAACCGGCAGACAGCAGCTTTACGGCTGGGAGGGCGAGGAGTGCTGACGGCTGCTTGCGCACGCCGTGGTCCAGGCTTCACAATTGGAAGGTTCCGCCTGTCCTTGAGATCCTAGGATGTTATAGTGTGAGATCCAGATGGTGCATTTGGCTTAATGTTGTATTTGAAGGAAAGGCTGCCTCGGACGACTGGGAGGCTGGAAAGCTGGTGAGCAGCCTGACCTTGGGCGATTTAGCACCTGGTTTTTCCTGCATGAGGTTGGCTGGCTTTGCATCAGATAGAAGGAGGAGGTGCCAGGGATTTGCATGTAATCTGTCAAACAGAGGGTGAAGGGAGTGCAGGAGGCCAGGGCTGTGCAGGGAGCTCCGATAGCCCAACAGCACCATCTGGACTTGGAGGGGCCAACAGCCCTGAGATCAGATGGAAGTAGCCAATCAAGTGGCTCATTTTCCTGCTGTCCTGCACCTGTCCTGAGGGAGGCTCCCAGAATCTCCTGTCTGGAAAGAATGCTCATCTCCTGTAAGGGGAGCAGGGCTCTCAATCCCTCCGCAGAACCAACAGAGGTCTCTGTGAAGACAGGATTCGGCAGGTGGCTGGTTTGGTGTTATCCCCCGTGGACGGGGTGCCCCCATGTCAGTGGGGTGCTGGAACCCGCTCGCACTGGCCCAGGGGAGGGGATCATGAGCATCTGCAGGAATTTAGTGAGCTGGCTCTTAAACACAGCCATCATTTAAAAAAAAAAAGAAATGATACCAACCTATAATGAAAGTATATTACAAAAAAATAAAGTTAAAAATATAGGTATTAAATACTCAAAACTTATCACTTCCCAATTATTTTACTACATTTTTCTAATATCCATGCTCTCGAGGTTACGCTGTCGGAAACGCCCTGCGATGAAGAGATGAAGGGCGTGTTGCTGCGAGTCTCTGCAAACGCCACCGTTCGGTGACATCACGTTGGCGACTTGACATCAGCCCTGGTAGGATATCTTACCCCCCCAGCCCCCGAGATGGGCAGATGCCACATATCAAGTTTCTACCCCTGGAGGGCTGGTTGCAAAACATTTAGCAGCACCCCACTGCTACTTGGGGACCGAGAAAGACATGGAGCCACATGAGCATTGAAACACCTCGTTCCGGGGAGGTTGGCCTGGGTGATGGATTTCTTACAGCAGGTGTCCTGGTAGAATGTGCAGAAGTGGCCAAGAAAAACACCTGAAAATGCTGCTTCTCCGCTCGTTTTGTCTTGCCTCTGTTTTCCACCCGTGAGAAATGTGTTTCGTTTGCTCCTAAACTTCTGGAGTGATTTGTGAGTTCTGTCTCACCGCGGGCGGGTACTTCAGCTCAGTTCCCCTCCAGGAAAGGGAATTGTCGTTTCCCCTGCCTAACCGGCAAGCTGAAAATGTGCTACAAGGAATATATCTTAACTAGGCGCTGAGAGAGCTCATTTCCAAGTGGTTTCTACAGCAATAACAGTGTTAACTTCTCCAACAGGGAAGAAATCATTTATAAATGATTGTTTTGCTGTCTTTGCTTTTTATTAAAATTATTACTGTGGGACAAGATGCTTTGTTTGCCTTTGTTCCCCCAACTCTGTGCCTTTTGGTTGTTCTTTTTAAGTAAGGACCACATGCTGAAGCTACATTTTATTATTTTCATATCATAAAATGAGGGAAAAGCTTCACAGATACTTTATCCTATTCATTCGCACACCAGCTGCATTCTGAAAAACCATAATTTTCCTTTCAAACGCAGAGTGTCGTCTGAATTGTAATATTGCCAGCTCTCAACTGTCAAGATGATGGAGGAAAATACTAATGCATATGGTATGAGCTTGTCATGGGCCTGCTCCCTGAGCTCTCCTGGGCTGACATGTGAATTGAGATTCAAAGAGCAAGTGAGAGCGAGAAGCCATTAACAATGACCGTGTGGTGCAGTACGGCCCCAGGGGACGGAAAGAATCTGTGAACCCACCTGAAGGAGGCTCCCGGGTCAGGCTGCGCCCCCGGGACTTGTGTGTTTGCATGAGACTTCACAGGCCTTCCTGGGACCAGTGATAAGACCTTTCGCAACTCACTCTGGTCGGCACCAGGCCTGAGACCCTTGAACTAAGGCTGTACCCCAAACCACTCGTATGTCCTTCGATGTCTCTTTTTATTCTTTTTATTTTATTCTTTTTTAAAAGATTTTATTTTATTTATTTATTTTATATATATATATATATTTATTTGAGACAGAGAGAACGAGAGAGAGGGAGCACATGAGAGTGGGGAGCGTCAGAGGGAGAAGCAGACTCCCCGCCGAGCAGGGAGCCTGATGCGGGATTCGATCCTGGGACTCCAGGATCATGACCTGAGCCAAAGGCAGTCGCTTAACCAACTGAGCCACCCAGGCACCCTTAAAAGATTTTAATTTATTTGACAGAGAGAGAGAGAACACCACAAGCAAGGGAAGCGGCAGAGGGAGAGGGGGAAGCCGACTCCCTGCTGAGCAGGGAGCCCAATGTGGGGCTTGATCCCGGGACCCTGGGATCATGACCTGAGCCAAAGGCAGACGCCCAACCAACTGAGCTGCCCAGGTGCCCTTATTCTTTTCATTTTATATGAAAATCTTCAAAGGACACAAAAGTAGAGAAAATAGTTTAGTAAACCACCCAGATTTTAAATTACCAAAATTCTCAGGGTGCCTGGGTGGCTCAGTCATTAAGCGTCTGCCTTCAGCCAGGTCATGATCCTGGGGTCCTGGGATCGAGCCCCGCATCAGGCTCCCTGCTCAGCGGGAAGCCTGCTTCTCCCTCTCCCACTCCCCCTGCTTATGTTCCCTCTCTCTCTGTGTCTCTCTCTATCAAATAAATAAATAAAATCTTAAAAAAAAAATTACCAAAATTTTCTATTTTTACTGCATCTACTCATTTATTTTCTTTATGCATTTAAAAAATCCCACACACCACATCTTTTCCTCCCCTGCATTCTCCAAGAGTGTGCATCTTCTTTTTTTAAATTTTTTAAGTAGGCTCCACACTCAGTGTCCAATGCAGGCCTTGAACTCACAACCCTGAGATCAAGACCTGAGCTGAGATCAAGAGTCCAATGCTTCACCGACTGAGCCACCCAAGCGCCCCAGCATGTGTCTTTTTTAAAAGAGGACACTTCCTTATGCCTTTACCACATCTAAAAAAACTATAATCCCTTGGTACCATCTACTTCCCATTCTATGTCAAATTCCCCTAGTTGTCTCACAAAGAACTCCATCTGCCTGCTCTCTGGGCCAACGTATTCAATGGGGCAGGAGGTGCCTGGGAAAGGGTGGTGACGGTTTCCCCGCCCTCCTGACTTTGGCTCCGGCACAAACCGTGCCCACAGCGGAGACACTACTGGAGGGCCCCCCGCTGGCTATAGACACCTTCCCAAGCTGTTGGATCTTGGGATTTCCTCTCCTCGAGGAACAAGCTGACGAAGCCCCCTTCTATTTCCCAGGCTCCCGTGGTTGTCCCCCGAGACCCACGCAGCCTCCCAGCTGCTGGCCTCGCCCGGCTGTCACGGTGGCGCCCACTCCGCTGCGGGTTCCCTCTTTCACCAGCCTCGGGGAATCACAGCTCTTCAGATCTCCCAAAGAGCCTGGGCCTCTTCGTGTGTTAGAAAATTTGGGTTGCGTTCCTCCTGGGATACAGGACAGAACATCTGACATTGTGTCACCTCTGAGGGCACAGCCCTGACGAAGGACATGGGGCAGCTGATGCCCCGCCTGCTTAGAGATTTTAAGTAAGGACATGAAGACAATTGGTGAAGACATGAAGACGTGAAGAACGTGAAGACAACTGGTGAAATCTGGAATGAGGTCTCTTTTATTATCTGATAGTGTCCTATCCATGTTAATTTCCTGATTTTGATGATTGTACTGATGAGCACATGTAAGAGCATGTCCTTGTTTTAGGAAAATACACATTCAGTGTTGGGGGGTAAAGGGGCATCAGGTCTGCAACTTACTTTCCAGTGGTTTGGAAAACAGTGAATATATAGAGAGGAAAAATGATAAAGCAAATGTGATAAAATGTTAACATTTGGGGGATCTGGGTGAAAGGTACAAGGGGATTTTTTTGCAAGAACAGTCTGGAGAAATCTGAAATTATTGCAGCTTCCTCTGCTGGGTTCCTTTGGTTTGGGGGCATTTCCTTGTCTCTCTTTTCTTCCGCAGGTGATCTCCTCTATTTCTCTGGTGTTTTGCGTGGTACTCTCAAATTTCTCGCTTGAACCTAGGCTTCTTTTCTTAATGCCAGATTGCACGCCCTCTTCATCTCTCCTGGAATGTCTCACCAGTTCCTCAAACTCGCCCTGCCCCAGTCTGAATGCACACTCTTCTCCCTTCACAGACCCTCTCCTCTTCCAGGGCTCCTTGCCTGAGCGTGCCACGCTAACGGCTTGCTCAAACCAGAAGAAAGTAAACCGCGACTCCAGCACTCACTTTGGGCTGCTATCCTCCTCATCCCCCACGTACATTTTTGTTTCTTGTGGTGAAACTTGACGCTTGAACTTGGAATGGCCTCTTGTCACTGCCTTGTTCATGAGATGTTCTAGGGGATCTACGATCCTTACAAAGGTTTGCAAGCAAAGCACAACAATTTTATGATATATAATTCTAGGCTTATAACCTGGTTGCAGTAGTAACCTTGTCCATATGCTTTTAAAGCCTGCTAGTGTTTATTAAGTATTTGTTAGCTACTGAAACTGTATGTTTGTGTGGGCATATATTAAAATATATTAAAATATTTATCTCCACCACATTGCCATCAATATTGATGAATATCAGAAAAGACATACTTTTTCTATCAAATTGATGACATGATCTGTCATTGAAGTAATGGTTCATTATCTTTTTTTGAAGTATTTACTTTGTTGAACGTTTTTCATGACCTGTTATTCTTTTTTTTTTTTTTTAATTGTATTTATTTGTCAGAGAGAGAGAGAGTGAGAGCATGAGCAGAGGCAGGGGAGAGGCAGACTCCCCACTGAGCACGGAGCCTCGATCCCAGGACCCTGGGATCATGAGCTGAGCCGAAGGTGGATGCTTAACCAACTGAGCCATCCAGGCGCCCCTTTAGTGTACCATTTTAATTTCTTTGTCGCTTTGTAACTATTTTTCAGAGTAATTTTCTTAGTGATTGCTCTAAGAACTATAATGGACATTTAAATCACAATCTACCTCACATTAATGCTAATTTAATTCCAGTAGAATGGGAAAACTTTGCTCCAATATAACTGTATCCCCCACACCCTTCTTTGGCAAAGGCCTACAAAATGTGTCACTGGGTGGCTTCTGGTAAACATGATAAACTATTTGTGGTTTAATTACAAGTACCATATTAATGAGCTGACAGCACATTACTCAAAAGTCATACAAAGTCACAGGAAGCCAAGTGCAAAGGTCATGATAAAGATCAGTTTTACTGATGTCTATGCCTAAAGCTCTACATTTCCTCACATATTCTATGCAAGAATAAAAACATGGCTACATGTGCAGGCCCAGGGGAAAAAGGGGGGAACTTCAGCAAGTTGTAGTACCTCAAAGCAGTTGTGCAAGCTGGAATATATTAGACATTCAGTAGCCCCTTGAACAGCCCCCTGATGCCGAGTTCATGGGTCACTAAGTAATGGGGTGAGCTTCTTCAGCTGAGATAAGACTTAGTAGCTCTTCAATGGTGTTTTGTTCATGGACACTGAGATGCTGTTCTTTGGCTAGATTGAAGGCTCTCATGGCATATTCTTGTGCCTGGAATAGAATTGCAGTTACAAAAAGAAAATTGTCATAGGAGAGCTTTATGTGGGGAAGCCCCATCTCTGCTCAACCCAGAAACACAGGAAAGGACCTCTCCGCTTTTCACACCAGCCACCAAGCTCTTGTTGGAAATTTGGGAACACCCACCGGGTCCTTACAGCTAGCCACACATGTGCTGGGTGGGGCATGGGGGACCAGAAAAACCCACCTGGCTTGACAAAGTAAGTAAAAATTAGTACACCTTCTTAGCAGAGTGAGATCTCTATGGGATCTTCGTCAGGACCCTCTGAACCAACCCTGGGAGACAGAGAGGTGATAGGGGTCATCCTGGGGGCCATGTGGTCTAGAGTTTTCACTTGGACAGAGGTCTCACAGGACATCATGGGAGAGCCTCTGGGTTGGTTCTTCTTTCCCTCCCTTCTTCTCCCTCCCTTCCTCACTTCCTCCCTTCCAATAAATATTTATTTAAAGATTTTATTCACTTATTTGACAGAGAGAGAGAGAGAGAAAGAGCGCACAAGCAGGGGGAGCAGCAGGCCTCCCGAGGAGCAGGGAGCCCGATGCAGGACTCGATCCCAGGACCCCAGGATCATGACCTGAGCCGAAGGTAGACGCTTAACCAACTGAACCACCCAGGCATCCCAGGAAATCCTAAATTTTCTATGACACCCACACAGAAAGGCCTCCTCCGTCAGGCCTCCCTCCCTCTCTCTCTCCTTGCCTGCTTTTCTTTTTCTTTGCAGCACTATTCACTATCTGAAATTATATTATGCATTAAGTGTTTGCTTGTTTATTGTGACTTCCTCTCCTCCAAAAGAAATTGGGCAAACAATGGACCCTCTCTATGCCTCAGTTTCCTTATTTGTAAAGTGGGAATAATACAATACCTACTTCATGAAATTGGCCTGACAATTACACAGGAGAGTTCATGTGAAGTACTTAGGCTAGTGATGGGCATGTCCCTAGGGAAGGAGACAATGCAGTTTCCATGATGCAGGTTGGACTCCAGAAATGAGAAACATCTCGAGCATCCAGACTGTTTTGAAGTGAGGGCTTACTCAGAGGGCAAAAGCCAGTGTAACTGGGCAAAACACAGCCAAATTCAACTAGAGGAATTTCTACCCCCATTTTAGACATGGTGCTTTTCTGGGGAAACTTGCCTTTGAAGAATTCATCATCAGGTAGTAAAGCATGAACAGGGTTTTCAGAACAAAGATAGTTTTCTGGGGGGCTGTGTTAGATGTAGATTCTCGAATGTTCCAGATTGAAGTCATGATCTGAATGGCTTCTGCTTCCTGGGCTTCATCTGCAATGGAAAGGAAGGAAGCTGGGACAAAGACACAGGCCCTGGGAGCTGCAGAGTCTCCCATCAAGGGTGAGCACTGAGCTGTCAGGGCACCGGCCTGCGGCACAAAGCACAACAGCAGGAAGCCTGGCAGTTTCAGGCAGACCCCTACAGGTCTCAAGGTAGCTACGGTTTCTCTCGTTCAGAGTCCTGAACTCTTGATTTCTTAGGCCTCCAAAGCAGGAAGCTGTCATAGTGGGACTCCTTGGGTCCCACTCAGCTTCAGCTGGAGAGCAAGAGCCCCCGGGATTTCTGGCAGCCAGCAGCTCAATCCTCTCCCAAATCCAACGGTGCTTGAGCACCTTGGACTTTCTCCTTCCCACAAGTGAGTCTGTCTACTCTTCCTCCAAGCAGCTTTGGGTCTTACTCTAGTGACCCTTTATTGTCTTATTATGAGTTATTTGGGGCAGGTGCTTATAAGCACTCTTTACATACTATGCTTAAGAAGAAGACAGAAAGGACATACACCATAACGCTAAGGTTGGCTGCCTTTGGATTTCTATGATTTCCAAGTTTTCTGCTTTAACATAAGCCACTTTTATAATGAAAGAAAACTCAATAAAGTTATTCATTTTTTAAAATCTTAGCTCAAGACCTCTCCTCCAAGAAGTCTTCCCTCTTCAACACCATCCAACTGTCCTCACCTCTTCCTTCTGGGACTCATCTTATAATGTGTACTTGTAGGAACTTCCTTTTATTTCATCTAGGTTCTATCCCATCAACCACACTGTATGTGTCTTTGGGCAGAAACTAGGTCCTCTGTCCATTTTTATTATATCTTAGAGGGCATGATGCTGTGCAGCGCCACCCAGCACTCACCCTTTGCTGAGTCTGGGGACAGAGACATGGATGACACTCAGCTCTGCCACTGAGAAGCTCACTGTCCAGTAAAGGAAGAGGAGAAGGCACCAGAATAAATGAGCAGTGTGACTTCTTCAGAGAGTTTACCCTGGTTTATGTGCCTTGGAGGGATAACACATCAGAAATGGAGGCTCTGCAGAGATCACGGGGGGCTCTGGTAGGTCTTTCTCCAGATCTTTCCCTTATGAGCCCCCGGAAAGGCTGTGTGTGGTGCCAGGGCTCTGAATTCTTCCCAGCACTGGTGGAATCTCTTTGATTCCCCCATCTTGGTGTCCTCATCAGCAAAATACAGAAGATGGCACTGATGTGCTCCATGACAGGGACAGTGGCTCTTCCTCGTGGGGACAGGCCTATGGATTAGGAGGGGTGAAGTCACTGCTCTGCTTTCCAGGGAGAGCTGCCACTTACCCAAGCCAGTGTCGGTCTCAAATCGTTTGCCCAGTAAGTCTATCTGCTGGATGCGAGCCTGTGAGAGCACTTGGTAGCGATCATTCAAGTATTTACTCCAGATCTCAGAGACCTGTTGGGAAAGCGGACGCAATCTGAGCAGCAGGCCAGACCTGAGCCGAATCTATTTTGCTAGTGGAGAAACAGGAAGAAAGGAAAGTGAAATATATCATGTATCAGACCATGTGATCTTGGGCAAGTCATTTCATCTCTCTGTGCCTCAAGTTTCTCATGAATAGTCTGGCGACACCAGTCGTAACTTAGAAGGCCGAAGTACCAAGGCTCAACTCCCATATTCCCCAGCTCACCTTGGTGTACAACGTGTCTGCCAGGTCCAACTTTTTAAGGCCATGGAAGATATTAGCCAGGTGGAAGTAGCCCCCTGAGGTCCTGATGTCCTCTGTTCCAAATGCACAACTGGCAAAATAAATCTATAGCAGAAGGAAGAATGGGGTGCTTTAGTTCTCCTTGTAAATTATACATCTGATAAAGAACTTGTACACCCAGAATTTGTAATGAACTTTTACAACAGCCCAATTAAAACTAAAAAATGGGCAAAGGATCTGAATAGACATGTCTCCAGAAAGATATGCCAATGGCTAATAACACATGAAGTGATGCTCAACATTATTAGTCATTAAAGAAATGCAAAATAAAATCACAATGAGATACCACTTCACCCGCACTAGGAGGGCTCTAATCAAAGAGGCAGAAAACAAGTGTTGGCGAGGATGGGGAGGAAAACGACCCCTCACACATTGCTGGTGGGAAGAGAAAATGATGCAGCCTCTGTGAAAAGCAGGTTGGCAGTTCTCAAAAAATTAAACGGTGAGTTACCATATGACCCAGCAGTTCCATTCTTAGACTACACCCAAGAGAAATGAAGGCATGTGTCCACACAAAGACTTGAACACAAATGTTCAGGGCAGCATTAACATAACAGCCAAACAGCAGAGACATCCCCAGTGTTCATCAAGTGATAAATGGCTACACAAATGGTGTATTTCCAGATGATGGATACTACTCAGCAATAGAAGGAATGAAGTATTGATATGACAACATGGATGAGTCTCAAAGTAATTATGCTAAGTGAGAGAAGTCAGATGAAAAGACCACATATCATTCTGTTTATATTAAATGTCCAGAGAAGGCAAATCTACAGAGACAGAAAGTGGTTGCCTGGGGTGGGGGGTCGGAAGGAGAAATGAATTGCAAATGGGTGTGAGGGGCTTCTGGGAGTGATGGGAATGTTCTAAAACTGGATTGTGCTGATGGTTGCACAACTCTGTAAGTTTACTCCAAATCATTCAATTGTACACTTAAAGTGTATGAATTTTATGATATGTATCCATAAAGATATGGATGGGTTTTTTTGTTTGGTTTTTTTTTTGACAGGTAGACTGAAGAATCTGAGCCTGATCTATTTCTTAACTGTGTGGCCCAGCTCAAGACAGAACCTGTGCCTCTGCTTAATTTGTTGTAAGTGAGAATACAGAGAGAAAACACAAATAAAGTGTATTAGTCAGTCTCCTAGGTGGAAATAGATGGCACCCTCCAAGTACTTCCTGAAGATAGTTTAATGAAAGGATTATTTGAAGAGACATACAGAGGTTAAGGAACCAACAAGAGCTAATGAAACACCAGGCACTATCAACAGCAAGAAACTATTACTGTCCTGACTCCTGAAAAGAAAGCGAGAAAGCAGGGTCACCAGGACGCCCCCACCCCCTACCCCCGAGAGTGAGCGCTATGGGAGGAGGCCACCTGCCAGGAGCTGTGGCCCTGGAGGAACACTGCCCCTGCCAGAACTGGGATGGAGCAGAAAGGCAGCAGAGAGAGTAGATACCCAACCTCTATCTCTTCCCAACATCCACTCCCCTGCCATGCCTCTCGCTCTTTAAATCCAACAGAAGCTGGAAAGCAATGGATTCTGGGTTGTGTAGTCTGTAGCGGTTAGCCTCCCAAGGCACAGTAGAGCAGAGAATGGATTTAGGGTGAGGGGATATGAAGACTAACCAGCACAAGAATGTTTGCAGTGGATTTATGGACATTGTGCAGTGGAGGCAACCAGAAGGAGGGTTGCCCACCCAGTGGAGAGGCTGAAGAGAGAAATAACGTGCTGAGACTGCATCTTGACCTTAACCTCATCCAGATTTCAGGCTCAAGAACTTTTCTCTCTGGGCATATTGTCCACTACTGACATCCTTATAGAAACCTCATTAAATTTTGGAAGAATGGCTCCATCATCACTCTCATCATCATCATCTTATCTAACATTTGTATGCAGTTTTATAGTTTATAAAGAATGTTCATATATGAACAGTTCATTTAAACTTAATAACCACACTCTGAAGTAGAAGCATTGATGTTATATGTAAAAATGATAGCAAATTGCTGCATATACAGTGTCCTATTATTAATCTCTTCACTGACCCAATGAGACATACACTATCTGATGATTTCTGTCTTACACTTGATGAAAGAGGTGAAATAATGTCCACCATGTCCAAGAGTAGAAGTAAAGCCCTTCTCTTAACCACTGTGCTGTTCTACCTTTATTATCCTCAGAGAAATCGGGCTTGGAGAAGTGACATGACCTGGCCAAGGATGCACAGCCAGGAAGTGGAAAGGCTTGAACTCAGGTTGTTAGAACTGTGTTCTTGCTAATATCTCACCAGTCAGTTGTCAACAGAAAGTTTTAGAGAAATGCTCAGTTAAAAAAGAACAAACAGGGCGCCTGGGTGGCTCAGATGGTTAAGCATCTGCCTTCGGCTCAGGTCATGATCCCAGGGTCCTGGGATCGAGTTCCGCATCGGGCTCCCTGCTCCGCGGGAAGCCTGCTTCTCCCTCTGCCTCTCTTTGTCTCTCATGAATAAATAAATAAGTAAAATCTTTAAAAAAAAAAAAAAAAAAAGAACAAACAAGGGTGCCTGGGTGGCTCAGTCAGTTAAGTGTCTGCCTTTGGCTCAGGTTATGATCCCAGAGTCCCGGGATTGAGCCCCGCATTGGGCTCCCTCCTCAGTGGGGAGTCTGCTTCTCCCTCTGCCCCTCACCCCACTCGTGCTCTCTCTCAAATAAATAAAATCTTTAAAAAAAAAAAAAAGAACAAACAAAACTAAGCATAGCTGTTCTCAGAAACATTCAGGTGTTATAATTTAACTTGTTTACATCATTGGCCAGATGATAACGGGCTTCCTCATAGTTTTCCTTAGCTATATAGAGAAGTCCCAGGTTCCGATGTAGTAAAGAGTGGGTGGCATAACGACATTCAGTTGATTTGAGGACTGTCCACTGGGCTTGGGATAGATATTCCTCAGCTTGGACAATCTGGCCTAGACCTGCCCAAAAGAAGTAAAGAAGGTTATAATTCATATTCTGGCCAGAGGACACATGATGAAATGTGAGTCAGTGCCCATTCACTCATTTGTTTATTGACTCAAACATTTATTGACATACAAGAACTTGCACATAAACATTCATAGCAGCCTCACCATAATAGCCAAAAAATAGAAACAACCTAAATGCTCATCAACTGATGAGTAGATACACAAAATGTGGTCTGTCCATATCCATGAGTGGAATATTATCCAGTTACAGAAAGGAATAAAGTACTGACATATGCTACCACATGGATAAACCTTGAAGACATTTCACTAAGTGAAAGAAGCCAGACATAAAAGGTCACATATTGTATGATTCCATTGATATGAAATGTCCAGAATAGGCAAATCCATAGAGACAGAAGAATGATGGCCAGGGACTGTGGGGAGGGAGAATGGAGTGTGACTACTAATATGGGTATGGGGGTCCATTCTGGGATGACTACAATGTTCTGTAGTTAGATGTAGTGATGGTTGCACAATCTTGTGAATATACTAAAATCACTGAATTGTACTTTTAAAGAGTGAAGTTTATGTATGTGAACTGTATCTGTTAAAAATGTATGTATATGTATACTTAATATTTTTTATGTACCAGGCCTTGTGTTGAGAGATGAGGATTCCAAGATGAATCAAAGCCATTGCCCTTGAAAAATTTACAGCTGGGTTCAGGGAATGCATGGGTGACAATATATTTATAACACAGTATATAAGTGCAGCAATAGTAACATCATAAGGTTTGGAAGTGGCAGAGAGTAGCAGGTGTTTAATTCTATGGATGGGGTGGAGAGGGACAATGGAACGGGGCGAGGCGAGGTCAGTGCTATGGACCGAATGTTGTATCCCCCCAAAACACATAGTTGAAGCCCTAATCCCCAAAGTGATGGTATTTGGAGGTGGGGCGTCATTTGGTCATGAGAGTGGAGCCCTATGAATGGGATTAGTGTCATAAAAGAAGAGATACAAGAGGGGTGACCCCTCTCTCTGCCATAGGAGGATAAAGGAGAAAGTGCCTGTCTCCAAACCCAGAAGTGGGCCCTCACCAGACACCGAATCTACTGATACCTTGATCTTAGACTTCCAGCCTCCAGAACTGTGAGAAATAACTGTTTATTGTTTAAGTCATTCAGTCTGTGGTATTCGTTATAGCAGCTGAACTAAGATAGGAAAATCTGAGCTGAGTTTTGAGGATGAGTAGAAGTTTTCCTGACAGATAAGGGGGGGGCGGGCACCCGGGCAGAGGTAACACAGATGCAGAACCATGGAGATGTGAAATAGTGGGCTGTGTTTGGAGAACCATATATGGGTCTGGGATGCTGGAGCCCAAAGTGTGAGGGATCAAGTGGCAGGAAATGAGGCTAAAGAGGTAGTCAGGGGACAGGTCATGGAGGGCTGGAGGACTTAGTAAGTTGCTCCAGGGAGCTGGATGCATGTGGATAAAAACTGGAGGATTTCCAGAAAGGGAGAGAGAGTTGGGATTTCAATTTAGAAGGATCCCCAGGAGCCAGGGTGGGGGAGGGACGAGAGGGGAGGAAGTAGAGTGAAAGACTCACTAGAGGACTTTGGAAATAGTTCAGGCAAGGACTGATAAGAGCCTGAACTAAGGCAGTGAGTGAAGATGGAGCAGATACCTAAGAGACATTTAGGAGCTAGAATGGACAACACACGGTTACTAAGTAAAAGGCACCTTATTTCTAATATTCAGATACTGTTGACACTTAAAACTTTTTGTTTGGTTGTGAAGATGCATAAAAGCTGCCTGCCTCCCTGCTTGCCTCCTAGGGAGGCTGTCAGACCTGGAGACAAAACTACTCTGCCAGCCTTCGGCGGAGCAGGAGGTGTGCTCTGGGTGCGAGGCATTTCCTGTGATGGGTGCTGCAGCAGAAACGGTGCCAGGAAAGGTCAGGGGACGAGGACACAAACCCCGCATAAGTCAATCTTCTGTTCTGCTTGTCCTTCCTCCCAGGCCTCGCTCATATGCAGGCATTACTTATTCTAGCTGTAATCATAGGTCACTGAATTAAAGGAGAGCTGAAGAAGCAATCGAAGGGAGGAAACACGGAACTTCTCTTGACTGAAGTTCAAACTAAAATGGGAAAATACTAGATTAGAAGAGGCGGAGGCCCGGGATCCTGGCTCATGCGAACATGGCAAGTCACATCTTCCATCTGGATTTTCTCTGTAAAATAAGAGCTTTAGACTGAGCAAATGATTCTTAGCAAAGGTTATTTAGATGGGGAGAAAACTGGCAGAGGGCACTGACACATACTGGAAAACTTTCATCTTCATCGTGCAGTTTCCCTTCAAGAAGGCAATTGCCAAAGAAGGAAGGCCCCAAGGCCAAGCTGAACCAGCAACTAAAGAAGCATCCCAAAAGATATACTTGGGAAAAAAAAAAACTTGAGCCCCCAAATCCAGAGAGCGGGTATAGTGAGGTAGGAGGAATGCGCTGCTCCCAGCAGGTCGAACTGAGACTGGCCGGTGAGTGGGTAAGTTTAGGCATGCCTTCTTCTACATAGTGTTTGCCTCGACAAGTGTAGGGATGGAGTGGATGTACTAGATACACAAAGTTGCTGAAGGAAGTTAGACTATCCTAAAGGGTCCTGTCACTAGCGTATGGAAGAGAAAGAGAAAGGATAGCCAGTTAAGGAGTAAGGGCTCTTGTCTGCAGGGTGAGACAAAAGGCCTACTCTGGGCTAGCGGCTGATCTGAGAGACATCAAGGGGGAAGATTTTGGAAGGTTTGATGACGAAAGTAAAGGAGCACAGAACAAAGCAGTCACAGATAATCATCTGTGAGGCTGGGAGGCACCCAGGGGAAGGAAAGGGAATTCACATTACTGAGGGCCTGCCATTTGCTGTATGCACAGTATGCTAGGCCATTTGCATCTGTGATCTAACTCTGCCAACAACCCTGTGAAATAAATATTCGAGGACGAATGTACAGAGGAGGAAACTTCATTCATTCATTCAACCACACATTCATTTAATTTAGAATCTCTATCACTTTGCTAGATGCTCAGTGCATACTAGTGAATAAAGCAGACATGATCTCTGACCACAAGGGGCATATAATACAGGGAACTAGATACACAATAAACAAAGAAAAATAAAATGCTATGAAGGAAATGAACAGAACACAGTCTTCCAAAAAAGCAGGAAGAAACCTACCTTGATTGGATGATTAGAGAACCCTTTCTGAGAAGGTGATATTTAAGCAGATACCTGATGATTGAAAAGAAACCAGCTATATATAAGGGAGAAAAAAGTATTCCAGGCAGAGGAAGAGTATGTGTAAGAGCCCTTAGTAAGAAGCTTGATACCTAGCATCACTCAACCAGTAAAGAAAGAGTTGGAGGGGTCCCTGGGTGGCTCAGTTGGCGAAGCATCCAACTCTTGATTCCAGCTCAGGTCATGATCTCAGGGTTTTGAGATAGAGTCCTCTGTTGGGCTCTGCACTCAGCAGGAAGTCTACTTGAAGATTCTCTCCCTCTGCCCTTTCCCCCACTTGTGTGTGCACGTGTGCACTCGTGCTCTCTCTAAAGTAAGTAAATAAATTAAAAAAAAAAGAGTTGGAATTTGAACCCAGGCTCCCTGATTCCAAAGTGCTGACTAGAGTGGGGGAAGATGAGTAAGGTGGCTCTTTGAAGTGTTACTGAAAATATCATCTCTAGTTGATTAAAATTCCAAAGTTTTACCAAAAAGAAAAGAAAAGGCTAAATACCTGTTATTCTTTCCACTCCAGTCTGGCGGAATCTCTTAGATGAGAAAGAGACATGTGCACAAGGAATGTAATTTATTTAGACTTTCAAAAAGGTTGGCAAGGTTTCAAAGACAGGGGGAGGTATAATGAGAACTTCCATTTAGACGGAACTTTCCAGCTTGCAAAGCACTCTCATGTTCATTACACACAAACTCATTTAATCCTCAAAACAATCCTGTGAAGGGGACTCAGATTCACCAAATGCTTTCACAGCGCCCACCAGATGTCAGGTTCTCTGAGAGCAGTTTTTGAGGACCTCCTCTGTGCTAAGTGCTATTCTGGGTATGAAGACACTCTGATGAATAAGAATAGGGACAGTTCCAGTTCTTCCTGAGCTTATAGTCTAGTGGGAAAGAGAAACTTAAATTAAGTAATCTCATCAATGGATATATAATTATTAGTAGTAGTATTTTGGGTTTTTAAAAAGATTTTATTTATTTAATTTTAGAGAGAGCTCACGTGCAAGATGGGGGAGGGGCAGAGGGAGATGGAGTGGGGATGAATTTCAAGCAGATTCCCTGCTGACTGCAGAGCCTGATGCAGGGCTCAATCTCACGACCCTGAGATCATGACCTGAGCCCAAATTAAGTCGGGAAAAATCCCCAAATCCCACAGCTAGTAAGTGTCAGAAATGCACAAAACCTGGGCTGTATTTCCTTGTCCGGTGCTCTTCCCAGTAGTTTTGGTGGAGGGACAGACTGGAGTGGGGAGCCAGACCTGAGAGGGGTGAGGAAGGCATTCTTGCAGTTATGTGGCCTCATATGGGGGAGTCAGAGCCCAAACCAGTGAGGAGAGGATCCATGCAGAAGAGGCAGCCCTGAATGAGGAGTCAGAGCCCATAGAAGGAGAGAAAGGCATCTGCAAGGGGAAAGAGTAGGGTTGGAAATGGAAGATTGGTTCATACAGGGCAACTGATGCAATATCTAAGTATATTAATGAAAAAGGAAGCCAGAGCCAGCATTCTCACTGTCAGAGAAGAGAACTACAGATGCAGAATGGGAGGAAATCAGACTGAACCCTGTGGTAGCGTTGGACTGAATTTAGAGGTACTGGTAGGGACTCATAGTCATATCTCTACCTATATATAGAGAGAGTGGGAGAGAATGAATTTAGATGTAATGTGTGTATACATTATTATGTTTATACATATTCCCTAACTCTGTCCACCAAGAAGGCATAGGAGCAACCCTACCTCAATAGCAACACATACGTCTAGTGCACAACTCTTGCCTTCTGAATTCCAGTTTTCACTAAAAAAAAAATCAAGGCTCCTTGGAGGTATGTTCCAGAAAGCAGGAAGGTGATCGAAGAACAATGGGGATGTGTCAAGGAGACATGGAAGCCACTTTAAATGGGCTGCCACTTGCCAAATCAGGAATAGCCTAAGCACCAAATTACGATAGAAACAGATTATTAATCCATTGACTAGAACAGGGAAGCAAGAGTTCATACTGATATAAATAAATGAATATATTGAAAGTCTGATGGAATGGGATATTTATATAGTTTCAGAATGCCTCCCCATAAAACACTTATTAATTGCGAAAAGGAGGAAGAATATACAAAGAAGAAGCCTGGCAGATATCACCTTAGCAAAGTAACTTAAATAGGTGGCATCAGGAATGGAACAAACTGAAAACATGTGCCAACTTGCAGGATGAGGTGCGAACAACACAGTGGCACTCCCGTGACATCCTGCCAAAGACACATCACCTGAGTCCAGTCGTGAGGAGACGTCAGAGAAACCCAAATTGAGGGATGTTTTACAGAACACTTGGCCTTTAATCTTAAAAGTGTCAGAGTCATACAAGTCAAGGAAAGATTGAGAATCTATTCCAGGATGAAGGAGACTAAAAACACATGGCAACAAAATGAAAAGTGTGATTTTGAACTGTATCCTTCTGCTGTCGAGGTGTAATTGGGACGACTGGAGAAACGTGAACTAGATGATAGTAGACGACGGTTGTATGGTGGATATGAAGGAGAACGTCTAGGAAATGTATCAGGCAAGCAACTTACTCTCACGTAGCTCAGGGGAAAAGAGGTTCTTTGTACTGTATTTCCAACAGTTTTGCTTTTTAGAAGTTTGCTTCTTAAAAAAAATAGTGGCTATCAAGATGGATAGTGGTTGGACAGTAACTAAAACACTGCAGATGCTCAGAAATGTTAATTCCCCTCCAAGATGCTAATTCTCTTCTTGTAGCAACCACCATGTGGGGTGGAGCTCTGCCGAGTCTGTGCTCCCCACTCTCATCCACGGCATGAGAGATACGGTTCTTCTTCCCTCTCCCATCCACAGGGGCAGGTTCCTATACTCCTCTTTGGGCCACGTGACCCTGACACAAAGGTAGATAAAGGTAAATACCACACTCAAGCTGAGTGAACACAACTCTCTCTTCTAGGAATTTAACACTGGAAATCAGATGCTAATTGTTTCTACTATCCTCCTTAAACCTGGAGGAACATGTAAATTCCATGGAAATTCAGCTACATCTGATATTTTGGGGTAGCTGTCTTTGTGGTAGGCATAGGGCAGAAAAATCTGGTCTGCAGAGATGGTAAATAAAGCAGATGCAGAGATAGAAGCAGAGACAAGACACAAGGCCCAAGAGAGAAAATTTGTTACAACATTCTGATTCTAGGACTTCATGAAGCCTCAATTCCCCTGGGACACTCCAGTGTCCGAATAAATGTCCTCCTTTTGCTTAGGCCAGCTAGAGTGGATTTCTGTCAGAAGTAGCCAAAAGTTGATGACATCTGCTTCCCCACCTTGTGCCAAACTTTACGGCAACACTGCTCTTTTATAGAAGGTTATCTTGGTGCTACTGCCAAGGCTGTACCCTCTGGCCACTGATTGAACCCACTTTAGTACTCCTTGAGGGCCCTGGGGCGGGGGGGTCTCGAGTCAATTCACTCACCAAGGCTCGCCTCGGCCAACAGCAGGTAAGCAGGCACAAGCTCTACTGAACTCAGGCCGTGCACATTCATGCGGAAGCGAAGCGAGTGCAAAGCTGCTGGAACAGCAGCTTCATGTTTTCCTTCAAAGAGGTATTTCTGGGCCACGGTGTAGCAGAATTCAATCAAATGCTTCTGTGGAAGAAAAAACTAGACCATCTGAGAGAGTCTAAAGGTAAAAGGCAATGGTGGATATAGGTTCACCTGGGTAAGGCCACTACCTAATGAACTGGTTGAGGGCACCTAGTTAACCTGCTTGTATTAAGGTGGACATGAGACCCAAAACAGGTGATATAAAAAGGGAAACCTGGATTGTGAGTTCCTCGAGGTCCAAGAATAAGTGTCTTTTCACCTTGGTTCGTTATCAGCATAAAGGAGTGCTCCGTATAAAGTTATTAAAGAAATATTATTCTTGTGTTTATAATAAAATTGTAGTTTAGCAAACCGTCATGTCTCCGGACATTCTACAACTTTCTGACTTTCTATTTGAGTCGTAATTTTGAGAGAAACATCTTATCTTTCCTTCCGGAGTTATCCTGCTTAGTGAGTATCAGAAATAACTTAAATTCTGCATTGTTCCAAAGCCCTCCTCAAAGTGCCACAACATTTAAATTGATGAATCTGGTGTTCTGAGATTTATGGCTTATAAAACCCTAACTTTTTAAGAATAATTGAGATGCTATCAATGCCATAATAGAAGTTTTTAAATCTCCTTTATGAATTCACCAGTGTATTCATACACCATTTTTTTGACCTCCTACTATGTACCTATGCCTTATCAACATACTGGGCATGTATGGATGCTATGGCTGAATTTTGTTCCCCTCGCAACTCATATGTTGAAGCCCTAAGCCCTAGTACCTAGCGAATGTGACTGCATTTGGAGCCAGAGCCTTACAGAGGTGATTAAGTTAAAATGAGGCCATTAGGGTGGCCCCGATCCAATTTTACTGGTGTCCTTGTAACAGGAAGAAATTTGGAAAACACCAGGGATGCACGTGCCCCCAGGAAACCACACCTGCTGACACCTACCCTAGATCTTGGACTTCGAGGTTCCAGAATTGCGAGAAAAACCATTTCTGTCGTTTAAGCCACCTAGTGTGCGGCGTTTTATTAGCCCTGGGAACCTAATACGGTGGGTATTCAGCAACTATGTGGAGAACAACTGACTGAGGACATAAAGTCATAAAACAAAGTCTCTGTCCTCAGAGAGGTTCCAGTCTGGGGATCCCTTCGTCCTGGGTGGTTTCGCGGAGCCTGTGAGCTAAGCCTGTAGCCCCCCCACAGGACCCACCTGCCGCTGCCGCAGCTGCTGCTGTCCGTGCCGCCGCTCCTCCTCTGAATTGTAGAAGGGCATGGAAGTGCGCAGCGGAATCAGCAGCTGACATATCTTCTCATGGATGCTGCTCCAGTCCGCTCTTTGATGAACCACACCACTGACAATGAAAACATGGACTTCGTTATCTTTCCCTTTGGCCTGGCCGGAGATCCTAGTGGCCCCACTTACTGGCCTCGCCCTAAAAACTAGAAAAGGAAGCCCAACACATATCAGGCAGGGAATCCAAGCCATTTCTTTTCTTTTCTTTTCTTTCTTAAAGATTTTTATTTATTTATTTGACAGAGAGAGACACAGCGAGAGTGGGAACACAAGCAGGGGGAGTGGGAGAGGGAGAAGCAGGCTTCCCGCGGAGCAGGGAGCCCGATGCGGGGCTCGATCCCAGGACACTGGGATCATGACCGAAGGCAGATGCTTAACGACTGAGCCACCCAGGCACCCCACAAAGCCATTCTTGACACAAATCTCTTTTCTTCCATGTGGTTATGTGGTGGTGTACCAATTAGTGGGGGTGGGAGGCTGTTGTTTCTTCAGGCACAGGTCACACTCCGAAGTCACGAAGTCGCGTGGTGATGCTGTGGCTGATCTGCTCTTCTGCTTCGTTAATAACATTTTTCTAAGGCCATTTTCAGAATATCTGAACATCAAAGCTGATGTTTGTGAGCGTCTTTTTCTTGGGGAAGGGAAAGGAATTTCCCATTTGCTGAGGCTCTAGGAGACGCTCTAGGAGACTGTGTTGCGTGGCTCCAGAGAGCACCACTGACATTGTCTTCTGTGTTCCAGGGGGCACAGTCACACGAACACACTAGGGACGGTCCCCAATCCCAGTGGTGCAGCAGGTGCTTTTGCTAGTAACTAACTTTTTGAGAACAAAACAAAAGCTATTATTTCAAAGATAAGGAAGCACAGGAGTGGAGAGCTTAAGTAGTTACTCTAAGCCTATAATCCAGAGCCGGCTGATTTTTAGCTCTCCAGAGGGAAGCACTGTGACAGTTTGGTAGAAAGCTTTTCTGAGTTTTACATACAGATTTAGTATTTTTTTTTTAAAGATTTTTTGTTTATTTATTTATTTGACAGAGAGAGAGAAACAGCATGAGAGGGGATAGGGTCAGAGGGAGAAGCAGGCTCCCTGCTGAGCCGGGAGCCCGATGTGGGACTCGATCCCAGGACTCCAGGATCATGACCTGAGCCGAAGGCAGTCGCTTAACCAACTGAGCCACCCAGGCGCCCCAGATTTAGTATTTTTGAACACTTAATTGGACAGGACTGCAGTCCTACAGAGAATCCACTCCCATTCCTTAAATAATTGCCTCTATGACTGATTCCCAAATCTATTACCTGCTTCTGACCCTTTCTCCAATTATTTTTTTTACACTTTTAAATTGATATATAACTCACATACAATAGAAAATTCACCATTTTAAAGTATAAATCCAGTGGTTTTTAGCATATTCACAAGGTCATAAAACCATCACCCTATCTAACTCCAGAACAATTTCATCACTCAAAAAAGAAACTCCATTTCCTCTAGTTGGTTCTCTCATTCTTTTCTCCACCCACTGGTGCCCAGAAACCATGAATCTACTTTCTCTATGTATTTGCCTGATGAGGACATTACATATAAGTGGAAACAGACAACATGTGACTTTTTGTGTCTGGTTTCCTACACTTAACATAATGTTTTCAAAGTTCATCCCATTTCATCGCATTTATCAATATTGTATTCCTTTGTACGACTGAATAAATATTCCACTGTATAGCTGTATCACTTTTAATGTTTATCCATTCATCAGTCAGTGAACATGTGGGTTGTTTCTACATTTTGGCTATTATGAATAATGCCGCTTTGAACATTTGTGTATAACTTTTTGTGTGAACACATATTTTCAATTCTTTTAAGTATATACCTAAGAATGGAATTGTTGGGTCATATAGTAACTCTATGTTTAACTTTTTGAGGACTGCCAAGCTGTTTTCCACAGAGGTTGTACCATTTTACAGCCCAGCAGCAATACAGGAGGGGTTCACTTTTTCTAGATCTTTGGCAACACTTGTTATTCTCTTTTTTTTTACTACAGCCATTTTAGTGTGTGTGAAGTGGTATCTCATTGTGGTTTTATTTTGCATTTCCTTAACAACTAATAACGTTCAGCATCACTTCATGTGCGTATTGGCCATTTGTATATCTTCTTTGGAGAATTTATTCAAATCTCCTGTCCATTTTTAAACTGGGTCTTTTATCTTCTTATTGTTGAGTTTTAAGAGTCCTTTACATACTCTAGATATAAAATCCTTATCTGATATATGATTTGTAAATATTTTCTCCCATTCTGCGGGTTGTCTTTTCACTTTCTTGTGTTCTCTGATGCACAGAAGTTTTAAATTTTGGTGGAGTCCAACTAATCTATTTTTTCTTTGGATCCTTGTGGTTTTGGTATCATATCTAAACTGTTGCCTAATCCCAAATCACACAGATTTCCAACTATGTTTCCTTCTGAAAGTTTTATGTTTTTAGCTCTTATATTTAGCTCTTTTTGTCTATGGTGTAAGGTAGGGGTCCAAATTCATTCTTTTGCATGTGGCTATGCAGTTATCCCAGCATCATCTAGAAAGGACCATTCTTTCACCAGTTGAATGGTCTTGGCAACCTTGCTGAAAACCAATTGACCATAAATGTACATACTTATTTCTGGACTCTCAATTCTATCCTTATGCCACTACCACACTGTCTTCATTACTGCAGCTTTGTAGTAAAATTTGAAATTGAAAAGTATCAGTCCTCCAGCTTTGTTCTTTTAAAAGACTTTTTAGCTATTCTGGGTACTTCACATTTTCATTTAAATTTTAGGATCAGTGTGTCCATTTGTACAAAAATGACAGAATTTTGATAGGGATTGCATTGAATCAATAGATCAGTTTGAAGTGTAATTATCTTAATAATATTAAATCTTCTAAACTATGAATATGGAATATCTTTCCATTTATGTAGGTCTTTCTTTCATAAATGTTTTTTAGTTTTCAGTGTGTAAGTCTTGCCCTTCTTTGGTTAAATTTATTTCTTTTTTGATGCTACTGTAAATGGAATGGCTTTCCTAATTTCATTTTCAGATTGTTCATTGCTAGCATGTATAAATACAACTGATTTTTGCACATTGATCTTGTATTCTGTAACCTTGCTGAATTCATTTATTAGCTCTAATAGTTTGTGGTGGGTTTTTTTGTAGGTTCTTTAGGGATTTCTCTCTAGAAGATCATGTCATCACCAAATAGATGTACTTTTACTCCTTTTCCAAGCTGGATGTCTTTTATTTCATTGTCCTGCCTAATTGCCCCAACTAGCATTTTTAGAAAAATGTTGAATAGAAGTGATGAAAGCAACATTCTTGTCTCATTCCTGCTTTTGGCGGGGGGGGGGGGGGGGGGGAGCCTTCAGTCTTTGATCACTAAATATGATGTTAGCTTTGTGTTTCTCTATAGGTCATGAAAGTTCCTTTCTTTCCCTAATTTGTTTTTATCACAAAGGGTATTGGATTTTATCAAATGCTTTTTCTGTATCTATTATCATGCGGTTTTTGTCTTCTCTTCTGTTAAGATGATGTCTTAAATTGATAGTAGTATGTTGAGATAACATTGAATTCCTGGGAGAAATGCCACTTGGTCATGATGTATAATCCTTTTTATATGCTGCTGGATTTGGTTTACTAGTATTTTGTTGAGGATTTTTTGCATCCATATTCATGAGGGATAGTCATCTGTAGTTTTCTTGTAATATTTTTGTCTGGTTTGGCATTACAATAACACTGGCCTTTTAAAATGAGTTGGGGACTTCTTCTTCCTCTTCTATTTTTTTGGAAGAGTTTTTGAAGAATTGGTATTAATTCTTTTTAAAGTATTTGATAGAGGGGTGCCTGGGTGGCTCAGTCAGTTGAGCGTCTGCCTTCGGCTCGGGTCGTGGTCCCAGGGTCCTGGGATCGAGCCCCGCATCAGGCTCCCTGCTCGGCGGGAAGCCTGCTTCTCCCTCTCCCACTCCCCCTGCTTGTGTTCCCTCTCTCGCTGTCTGTCAAATAAATAAATAAAATCTTTTAAAAAAAAGTATTTGATAGAATTCACCAGTGAATTCATTTGGTCCTGGGCTTTTCTCTGTGGGAAATTTTTGATTGCTAGCTAAATCTCTTTAGTTATAGATCTACTCAGATATTCTTTTTCTCGAGTCAGTTTTGTAGTTTGTGTCTTATTTGGAATATATTTCATTTAGGTCTTCTGATTTGTTGGTGTACAATTGTACATAGTATTCTCTTATAATCTCTTATTTCCTGCAAAGTTGCTAGCAATGTCCCCACTTTCATTTCTGACTAGTAGTAATTTGGGTATTCTGTTCCTGGTCAATCTAGCTAAAGGTTTGTCAATTTTATTAATCTTTTAAAAAAACCAGCTTTTGGTTTTGTTGATTCTCTATTGCTTTTCTATTCTCTATTTCATTTATCTCTGCTCTAATCTTTAATATTTTCCTCCTTCCACTAGCTTTGGATTGAGTTTGCTTTTCTTTTGCTAGTTTCTTAAAGCAGAAGGCTAGGTTATTGATTTGAGATCTTCCTTCTTTTATAATGTATGTGTTTACAGCTAGAACTTTCCCTCTGAGTACTGCTTTCACTGCACCCTGTAAGTTTTAATATTTGTGTTTTTGTTCTCATTTCATCTCAAAGCATTTTCTAATTTCCCTTGTGATTTCTTCTTTGGCCCACTGGTTGTTTAAGACTATTATTTCCATACATTCATAAATTCCTCGTTTCCTTCTGTTATTGCTTAATGTCATTCCACTGCAGTTACAGAACATACTTTGTATAATTTCAATCCTTATAAATTTATTGAGACTTGCTTTATGGTCTAACACATGGTCTATCCTGGAGAATGTTCTATATGTGCTCGAGAAGAACGTATATTCTGCTGGTGGTGGTAGTGTCATCTATAGATGTCTGTTAGGTTTAGTTGGTTTATAGTGTTGTTCAAGCCTTGTATTGCCTTGCTAATCTCCTGTTCATCACTGACAGTGGAAAACTGAAGTGTCCAACTATTATTTTATTTCTCCCTTCAATCTGACAGTTACTACTGCATGCATTTTGAGTCTCTGTTGTTGGATACATAAATCATGAATTTTTGCATTTTTATCGCCTATTGTGTATTTTTACTCAAATGTGACTAAGTTCACTGTTTGATTCCAATTATACATATTCTAAAACTGGTAACAATAACCTAGCACAGGGTCAGCAGTTTTTCTGTAAAGGGCCTTATAGTAAATATTTTAGGCTTTGAGACCTACATGGTCTCTGTTGCAAAAATTCAACTCTTTTGTTGTAGCAGAAAAGCAGTCATAGACAACATATAGCTTTGTTCAAGCACTCTCTCTCCTTCCTTCTTCTGGGACAAAAGAAATGCAATAAAGTATTTTCTTTATAAACTGCAACTGTATGATATGAAATGATAAAAGCATTAAAAATTTTTATAGGGAATTATTGTAAACAAATCAATAAAAGCACTCAACAGCCAGGATATAGAAATAGTTGAATTCCATAGGGTATTTATTAAATAGGGGCTTCTTGAGTAATTGTGTGAGCAATGGAAATATTAATTTACTTAACTACCTAGACTTTTGTTCCACTGAGAGCATTTGACATATCTTGCTTTTCCAAATAAAATGAGCTTTATTTATATATTCATGAACTCTTTCCTTATTCATCTGTTTCACCCGTAACACCCAACACAGGATCATGCATAAAGAAGGAGTTGAAAATTATATTTTCTTTTTTTTTTTTTAAAGATTTTATTTATTTATTTGAGACAGAGAGCAGGAGAGGGAGGAGGGTCAGAGGGAGAAGCAGACTCCCCGCCGAGCAAGGAGCCCAATGTGGGACTCGACCCAGGGACTCCAGGATCATGACCTGAGCCGAAGGCAGTCACTTAACCAACTGAGCCACCCAGGCGCCCGAAAATTATATTTTCAATTAGGGCTCACAATCAAGTAGCCTGTAAGCCAGATGTGCTTTGTTTGGCCATTATCCTGTTTTTAAAACTGAATTTAGATGTCATTAGGCAGGACATTCATTCTGCAGTTTACCACAGATCCTACTGTCTCCTACTACTGAATACCACTTCACTGCTGTCCTCTCTTCCTGGCCAGTGAAAGCATTTTAATTTGTGCCCCATATGTTCAATAAAAGGAAAACTTATTTCAAATTACTCTTATCTATATGCTATGATTTGCTCACCTATAGTACTGAAGCCTCTTTTACTATCTGTAATGTTTCAGTATGCACTTTAATAAAACTGTCTTTTCTTACAAATATTCAATTCCCTAGGAACATTCTCACAATCCAATACAGAACAATATGTGCAAGATTACACAGAGTATATAAAACAGATCTTTGTATAGGAAAAGAATATAAGGAAATTGATCAAAATGTCAGGTTATTAATCTCTGGGTTGTGAGATTATGTATTTCTCTTCTTTATTTTTTATATTTTCAAGTTTTCTACAGTGAGCGTGAGTTATATTTACAATTGGGAAAAAACTCTTTTGCAGAAAAAGAAAAAAAAAAAACTTTCAGAAATTCGAGTTGACTGGCCTTCCTGCTCCTTAAATTGGAACAAGGAGAAAGAATATTTATTGAGTGCCAACTTGGTCTTAGGCATGATGCTACATGCTTTACATTCAACCACAAAAACCCTGTGAGGGAGGAGTATTAAAGCCCCCATTTCTGAGATACAGAACAATTACTTCAGTTTCATTTTATGGAAAAATCTTGAAATTTCCAGGACACAAGCATATAAAAATCTGGAGAAAAGAGGCAGGTGGGCTGGAGGGAGAGAAGAAGGCCTTAAAGAGAATTAAAGGCAGTGAAGGAGAAGAAAGGAAATAATGGTGGATAAGGGCACAGGAAATAATAATTTATTCATGCATTCATCAAATATTTAGTTTCAACTACTTCAAGACACTTTGCAAGAGACTGTAGGGTATATACAGATGGGTTTGACACAAATCAAAAGATAGCATATGTATGACAGCCCTATCCGTATTCAACATAACATCCGGCATTAATGGAACATAAGAAAATTGACATAACACACTTGCCGACAACTGAAATGAAGAAGGGAAATAAGAGTCAAGTGAAGAGTAGAGAGTGACTACAAAGTGAGTTGAGAGGATGAACGCATTACTGCTGGCTGCAGGGATGAAGGCAAAAGGGAAAGAGGTAGATGCTCATATCAGCCAAAGGACTCTAATCTCTTCCCTGAGTGCCAGGCTGTACTTGAAGTTGTTCACTAGCCATCTCTCCCAAGTGACCTGAAGGCCCTCAAACTCTGTGTCCCCAACCCAATCCGTCACCCACCACCACCTCCCTCTATGTTAATAGGTTTACTATCCATTCAGAAGTTCGCTTATGCAACAAATGATCGCTGAATGTCTGATATATGCGACCAGTAGGTTCAGTAAAAGACACAGATATTAAGTAAACACAAAATACAATACAAAAGTACAGGAAAAACGAAGAAAAAGGTGAGACAGAAAAATAAGAGAGGAGTATTTTCAGAACGACCTCTCTGAAGAAATAACATTTCTGAGAACTAAAGGATGAGAGGGCCCTAGGAAGATCTGTGGTTGAAATGGAGGTTCCCAGCAGTGGGGACAGCCTAGGCAAAGAAACTGAGGGAGGAAAGGACTTAGCAAATCCTAATTGAAAGAAAACCTCTGTAATTATATCAAGGAAAAGAGGGGGTGAGCGTGGTGGGAAATGAAGGTAGAGAGCTGACCAGGGCTTTGTAGTTTCTGCCACAAATTCTGAATTGTAGTCTAAATGCAATGAAGAAACAGCAATGAAAACACATGCCATCCCTCCCTTCACGGGATATACAGACCTAGTGAGGAATACAGACTATTAAACAACTGATTTCAATCTGTGTCATAAGTTTTAGGATAGGGAATATATAGAGTGCTGTGAGAGCACTGAGGAGGGACACCTAATTCAGTCTGAGGAGGTATATTCACTCTCCACTGGGACCATTGCAACAAATTCTCAATCAGTTATGCAGCCTCCAGGGTCTACCTTCCAATTTATTTTCCACACTGCTGTCATCTTTCCTTAACACAAGTGAGACCTGGTCAAAACCACCCATGACCTCCCAGAGGATAAATTCCAAACTTCTTGATCTCATGTCACCATTTCGCCCTAACCTCTATCTTCTTGGTTTAAACTCCTCCTCCTACCTATTGCAATGGTTTTTAAACTTTCTTTTTAGTAAGAAATATATTTTATCATTACACACACACATATCCACATAAAACACTAGAAAGTTTCAAGAAACAATTCAAGTAGGATTACTTTGATACTTTCTATTTTATTCTTTTTTCCCTAAAATGTTTGTTGATTTATTCATGACCTGCTAATGGGTCTAGTCTGCAGTTTGAAAATCAGTGACTGCTTCGTCCACTACTGCCTTCTCTACTCAGCTCTGAACAAACTGTTCTTTCACCCTTTACCCAAGTAGACCCAGATGCCAGGAGTACCCTGTCCTTCTGTCTTCCTTCTTCATTCACCTAGCAATTTCCTACTGACCTTTCAAGAGTCATCGCAAACATTATTTATTCAGAGAAACCTTTCCAGATATTGCCCCAGGCTTCCATCCTTAGAGGTCCCAGGAAATAGCACACCCTAAGTGACAGTACTTGTCATGCAGGGTCTATTATAATGACTTTTCAAAAACAAGTTAGTCTGCTCTGGACTAGGTTTCTGGACATCAGCAACCGAGCTGTTTTATCTCAGGTCCAACATAGGGTCTAATGGGAAGCAAAGGTCAGGGGATGTTACGTTGAATAAATGAAAACTCACCTCACTTTCTACTACCCTCCCCACACTCTCACCACCTCGGCTGTGCACTTCTTTCTATTCCTCAAGCACACCACAGTCTTTCCTCTCTCAGAGCCTTACTTTTCCTCAGCATTTCCACGGCAGACTGCTCCTACTTTATCTTCAAATCCTTAGGAGGGCATCTGTCCAACCTCTCATCACATTTCCTTTGTCTTTATGGCATTGATGACTCTCCGAAATTATCTTGTTTTCTTTTTGTTTGTTTGTTTGCTTATCTATCTTCCGCATTAATTATGTTAGCTTCTTTAAGGGGCACAGTCCACCAAGTATCCCCCAGTAACTCAGGCTGCTAGAACAATGCATAGCGCACAGTAGGCGGGCAACAAAACCTCTGGTGACGAACAAGGGAGTGGGAGAAGAGGCAGACACAGAAGGCTTAGGGACCAGTCTCGAAGCCGCCTTGACTGTTCCCTGGCAGAGGCGGTGCTACGGCTTATGTAAGGCACCCAAGTGCCACATTTCAGGGCCTACCAGTAATAAGTGACCGTGCAGGAGGTGCACACTCGCTCGGCCGGGGCCTCGCACACCTCGCAGCAGAGCCGGCGCCCCTTGGGCACCGCCAGCGGGTAGATAATGTCCATGCTGCAGCCAGCAGTGTCGGTCTCCAGGACGGTTGCCCGGCGAGGACACGCTGGACGCCGGCGTCACGTGACTGCCATCGGGCAGCCTCGTTCCCAGGATTTCAGGCGCAGGGGGAGGGGCGTGGCTCCACTGACATCTAGAGTGTATTTGCGGGGCTGAAAAAACCACCACCACAAAACTCCTCCTCGTTGGTCCCGAAGGTTAAATGGCCGGGCAGTCTGACTCCAGGGGAATCTAAGTCCAGAAAGGCCGATACGGTGGCCGGTGAGAGGCAAAACCGGCCAGTTCTTTACCCGAGTAGGAAACGAACATGAGGGGAGGTGGCCCTTCCAGATGCCTGCCCAGCCGACAGCTCTAGCCAGCTCAGGGTCACCTCTGCGAGGCTGCGGGGCAGAAAGGGCACGCAACGCCACACAACGCCACACGAGGAGAAAAACGGCGCCGGCGTGCGGCGTGAAGGGGAAAGGTCGCCCCCTCACTAGTGCGGCTGCGCGGGGACCGGGAGCCCGGCAGGGGCGCGGCGCCGGCGGCAGTGGAGCGTGCGCGAGTGCGGGCGCGCCCGGGGACTGATGGCGGAAGTGGATCTGGTCGCCGAGTTTCCCAAACCTGCGGATGCTGCGCGCTACGCCGAGGTTATGGCTCGCTTCGCCGCCAGGCTGGGCGCGCAGGGCCGGCGGGTGGTGTTGATCACGTCCGGCGGTACCAAAGTTCCTCTGGAAGCCCGGCCAGTGCGCTTCCTGGACAACTTCAGCAGCGGGCGGCGCGGGGCTACCTCGGCCGAGGCCTTCCTGGCCGCGGGTTACGGGGTCCTGTTTCTGTACCGCGCTCGTTCCGCCTTCCCCTTTGCCCACCGCTTCCCGCCCCAGACCTGGCTGTCGGCGCTGCGGCCCTGCGGCGCAGCCCCTTCGGGTTTGCTGAGCCTGGAGGCCGAGGAGAATGCACTTCCGGGCTTCGCGGCGGCTCTGCGGAGCTACCAGGAGGCTGCGGCTGCCGGCACCTTCCTGGCCGTGGAGTTCACCACTTTGGCGGACTATTTGCATCTGCTGCAGGCTGCGGCCCAGGCGCTCAATCCGCTGGGTGCGTGCGCTTAGGAGTTCAGGGTTTCCTGCAGGCAGAGCCTTTCTCCCCAGACACTTTCCCCCTCACCTTTTCATTATCCGCAGTCTAACAGCCGGGGAGCCTGAGTTGAAAGGAGCTGATCCCATATCCCACTCCGATTTATTACACCCTGTGCTTCTCTCTGCAGGCTCTTCTGCGATGTTTTACCTGGCTGCGGCCGTGTCAGATTTCTATGTTCCTGTCTCAGAAATGCCTGAACACAAGATCCAGTCATCTAGGGGCCCACTGCAGGTGATGGGCGCTTCTCTTCCAGAGATCTGATCCCCTATAATCAATCTTGGGTTAATTCCCTCTTGATCTGGAGATGGCCTTTCTGCATTCCGTATGGGATAGGCACTAGGGATACAGAGATGAATAAGACACCGCCCTCCCTCAAGAACCTCACAATCTAGTGAGGGAGCTGGACACAGACATAATTACAGTACAGAGTGATAAATGCTCTAGTAGAGGTACGTACAAAGTGAAGTCAGAGCATGGGGTGAGTGAATCTTGGGGAAGTCAAGGAAGGCTTCCTGGAGGAGATGACATAAATTGGGTTTTAAAAGATGAACAGAGAGTATAGCAGACAAAGTAGGGAAGGTACAGATAGAGTACAAATTGGAGTTTGGAAATGAGCAGTGTGATGTGAACTGAAGTTGTTTGGTAAGGTTGGAGAGCAGGGAGAGTGGGGCGCAAGGTGGGCGGGCAGACCGAAGAGAGCTTATTTCATAGAAGATTTTGTATTCCTTCTTAAGGAGCTTGGACTTTATCCTGTGGAGCTAAGGCAAACAAGTAGGAGAATGAGAGAAAGTTTTTGTTTGAAAAGACCGTTCCGGCATCAGTATGAAAGGTGAATTAGAGAGAGTAGCGGGTGTAGGTTAGATGACGAAGATTGCTGTAGTTTAAGGAAAGGGTATGGGGTGGCTAGTGGTTGAGATGTTGAGGTGATCTGGCATCCTGGAACCCGAGAGAATTCTTAATCATTTATGATTCAAGAAGAATTTAAATAGGAGAAACTACCTGTGGGACACTTGCTGACTCTGTAGGATACTTCATTTGTTCATTTTTTCAATAAATATTTATTGAGTACCTACTATATGCCAAGTACTGTAGTAGGACCTGGAGATAAAGCAGTGCAAAGAAACATACTGTGCCCTTGTGTTGCTTACACTCTTCAGAGACCATGAATAAGTCATATGCATACTATGTTAGGTAGTGAAAAATGCTAAGCAGAAAAATTAAGTGGGGAATGGGAATATAATCCCTATCACACTTGCTAACTTTCTGAAATCCTGATAATTACCATAGTAATTTCACACTTTTAAAATTCTGGGAGCTTTAGTTTATCCTCTATTTTTTAGTTCTTTCTTGGAAGTACACAAACCAACTCAACATTCTTAGAAGGGATCAAGAATGGTATAGTAAGAGTTTTGATCAAGTGAAAATAAAATCAGTTTATTTTCTTCAGTGCTAAGATGTGTAATGAGTGACAGTTTTTAAACAGAATCAAATAGTCATTCTACTGGTGCAAGGAATATTTTAGGCTAAGAGATTTAAAAACCCAACGTTAATTAAACTTCTGCCAAAGTTACATTTGTGTTACAGATTTGCGTGAATAGATTTGTTTATTTGAGTGTTTGGTTTAAAATAAGGGGAATGTTTAAGAAAATATAATGCTGTTTTTCAGAGCTCTGTTAATGGTGATGAGGGCGGTAGGGCAAGGTTAACTCATAAGACATGGTTTGTCTCAGAATTCGTATGACACCTTGGAATTAGGAATCCTTATGAACCCTACAGAGCCAAGGCTCTTAAACTAAGCATTTAAAATGCTCTGAAAAGTTTGACAGTGAGAAATCCCACTCAAATTGACATAGCCAAAAATCTGAGTCCCTGCTTCCTTAGTTTCCCATGAGACTGACCTGGTAGTTATTGACCTTTGTTTGCTTATTAAGCTTTTCTTTTTCCAATACAGATAACAATGAAGATGGTGCCAAAAATGCTTTCTCCTTTGGTTAAAGACTGGGCTCCCAAAGCATTTATAATTTCCTTTAAGTTGGAGACTGACCCTTCCATCGTAATTGATCGTGCACGGAATGCTTTGGAAGTTTATCGACATCAAGTGGTGGTGGCCAATAGCCTTGAGTCACGACGGTCCTCTGTGGTTATTTTAACGAAAGACTCAGAAACCAAGATATTGCTGTCAGAGGAAGAAGTAGAAAAAGGCATAGATATAGAAGAGAAGATAGTGGGTGATCTTCAGTCTCGACACACAGCTTTTATACATGACAACTGAAGTATAAAAAAGCCTTTGTAGGATCAAAAATTGTTCAGTGGATCAGGGCTCTTAAGCCGGCGTTGGTGGTATAGTGGTGAGCATAGCTGCCTTCCAGGGCTCTTATCACTGGTAAAAACAAATCCTTTGCTTTCATAAAGACAAAAAATGAAGGGAAAAAACAGTGAGTGGTATGCAGGTGAATATAGTTTGGTATTTGTCTTTTAAAGATCATTTCATACTCAATAAAAATGAAAACAAAAGCAAAGCACTTATGACCAAGCCACCTGACACACTCATCTGATTATCACCTGGATTTTGAAAATGAACATGAGCTGTTCCTCACCTTTAAAAAAAAAGAGCTTATTGGGAATTATATTCCTCAGCATATACATGTGAGGCCTGAATATCAACCTTCATAATATGAGAAGGATTATGGATGCATGAATGGCCATGCCTTAAAGATCAAATATTTCTTGATGCCTACTATGTGGTAGGCCCTGAGGATTATGAGGATTAAAAAGATGAATAAATATGTCTCTGGGATATGGATGTATGAAAAATAAAGTGCAATAAAGTGTGTGCCCAAAAGCCAACATGATGGAAATGATGTTTTTTGGAAATTTATCCAAGGTGCGAGTACAAGAGAAGGACACCTAAGATAGATAGCCTGTAGAATGATGAGCTTCCCACTACATTTACTTTTTGCTCCTTTTCCTAGGTTGACTCTCTATTTGAGTTAACAGTTTACCTTTCAAATATTTTAGAACTGTTCTTAAGGGAAACTTGATTTCTACCTGGGGCCAGGAAGGGGCCTATTAGTGATTTCTACCCTGAGGGAAGCTTTACTATGTGGTAAGGAGTAGGGGCTTTGGAGCCATCTCAGCCAAGTTTGACTCTTCGAGCTGTGTCACCTGTTACCTTTGTAAGCTTAGACCCTTGACTTAATCTCAAGTTCCTCATTTATAAAATAGAGATAGTAAATCTCTCTGCTGAATAATGCCCTTTGTTGTGAGGAGTAAGTAAAACAGTGAAGATAGAGCATTAGTCATCTGGTGTCTGGCATGTAGATATTATACTGTCTTGGGCTTGGGATGGGAGTGTACAAGAACTGTGGTTCAGAAAAATCCCCTAAATGATCTGTAGGTTGGTCCAGAGTGCATGTTGAGAAACTACCGTTAATAAGTAGGTAGAAGCAGGAAATATACTTTACATACTTGATTTAAAGTGCAACTAGTGATAATCATGGAGTTGGGAAGGGTAGCCCAATGTGTCTGATGACAGTGATACAATAAATGTTAGTTGAAAAGATTTGAGCAGAGGTGCAAAGATGCATTGAAATATGTCATTAAATCAAGAAATGTGACTTTCAAGCAGAGGAAAAATAACTGCAGCAGTCAGGACTGTTCTGGACGCAGCAGTCCCATTGAACAAAAATTTTAAATTAACTTAAGGTCCGATTAGCAAAATCTCAAAGACAACAGGCTCTGTCAGCAGTGGCTGCAGTACTGAAGGGATAGGAAGCAAAAGATTGATTTTCTTCCCTACATCTATAGCTTCATGTGGATGATGACTGTCATTATGATGTTTGAACGTCCAACGAGGGTAATGGAGTGAAAACTAGAAGTGATCTTAATGTTTGTTTCTACCATAACTATTACTTCCCTTGGGAACCATTTCTTATCCCGGTTTGTTAGGCTTAAACAAACACCACTTTCCTACATGGAATTATTTGAAGTGTTTTCCAATTCAGTTTAATTTCCATTTGGAGCACTTAAACAGTATTTACACATGTTAAAATTCCAAGAGGTTTTTTTTTTTGTTTTTTGGGTTTTTTTGTTTTTTGTTTTTTGGTTTTTTTTGACAGCAAATAGTGTGCAAAGAAAGAAATAATGAAAAGGAACGCGAGTCAATGAGAGCAAATGAGAAAGCCCTTGATCTAGATTGGAGGACCAAGAATTGTTTCCCTGAGGAAGGGACAAGTGATAAGTAGGAGTTAAGTGGACTGGAAGTGATGGCACTGCGCATTTTAGATAAGAGAAAATACATTTGTAAGGTGGAAATGGTTGAAGTACTTCCATAAAGTAAGGGATGCGATCTATCCAGATAACTGGCAAAGCTTTGGAAAGGATCCTATGTGGAACTAGAATAAGACTGAAATGTGGGTACCTATTTGGGATATCAGCAAAGCAAGGGCCCCCAAAACATGGGTCAAATCAAGCTTTGATGAACTAACTAGAATCTTGCAATAAGAGCATTTAAATGAACATGATATAAACCAAGCCTCTCTTAAGTTGTCGTTTAGAAATTTTTATTTTGCACGACATAAGTGGAGGAACGGTTCACTTAAACTGAATTTTCTAGGACTTCTAAAGGGCTTCTGTCTTAGGGACGATTCTAGTCAAGTCCGATTTCTTCATTTTTACAATAATAAAGCCAGGTCCGAAAAATGTGATTTGTCTTAGGCGCCCCAGGTAGTGACAGATCTAGGCTTAAAATTCACAACTCCTGACCCTCTCCCTTTTAAGAATGAAGTTACTTCTAGAAAAATAAAACCAAGACTATTAGGCCGGCCGGAAGCTATTTGAGAATTATAAATGCCCGCTAACAAAAATGTAGCCTCAAAGTAGAAAAAGCGCACCTATGTTGTTACCAACAGGTTATTGCAAAGCCAATGGAATGAGCCGTACTTTCGTTTTGCCGAAAAACCCCGCCCCACGGCCCGAAGGCCAATGGTGTGCGCTGTCTCCACAGGAAGAGCAGCCCCTGAGCCAATGGTGCGCGTCGTTTCTATGGTTCCCGCCGGAAGGACGCCTCGGCGTCTCTGCGGTGAGCGCTGTTGCTATGACGCCCGGGCCTGGGTAGGCACCTGCCTCTGGCCGCTGAGCAGCGGTGGAGCCGAGTGAGCCGGGACCCTCACGGCACTCTCCGAAAGACAGTTTCCGGCCTGGTTCCCGCGGCTCCGCCTCAGCCCCAAGGAAGAAAGCGCCTTTTCTGCGTTCCTTTTCAGCATTCCAGGTCTTTCCCGCTTCTCTCACCCGTGTGGCCCGAAACCGGAGGAGAGCCTCTCCTGGCTCTGCCTTTGTTGTGGCGGGCTGGAGTGATTCTGCCTGAAGAAGGATTCGCCCGTCCGCAGGGACCCAACCGCCACAGCCTTTAGAATTAGGCTGTCTGTCTTATTTAGAGAGGGCTTGGAACCCGTCAGTTAGGTGGGCGCTCCTTTTCTCACTGCCCAAGCGAAGACTCAGCCCTGCACAGACCACTGCGCCTGACGGGCCTGGCCCGAGTCCTCCGAGCCACGGCTTCCCCAGGTCGTAGGCTTGTGAACAAAGAACTGCCGTTTTCTGCTTGTTCGTCCTATGTTCATCATGCAGAATCTTAATTGCCGATGAAGCTCTGCAGAGGCCTTTGGTATCTTCAGCATCCGACGTCATCAAGTCAGTTACCTTCTGCCTTTCGAGCTACAATCTCATCCGCTTCTCTCATCACCCTGAGCGCCACTTTTCTCATCCTGCTCATTCCACAGCCATTTTCACCCTTTCTCGTCCCTGCTGCGCATCACTGAATGTTCATTCGTCTCCACCACCTCTGCCATCTATAGACCACCTCCCTCTGTTTTCCTGCTACAATGCTTTGGGTAGCTAAGTATTCCACATTCTCCAGCTCTGGAATCATTTGGAAGATTTTCTTTGTTTCTCTGCACTATGGCAAGCTTCCTGTCTTGGGTAAACTAACTAGCATGGAGAAGCGCACGTTGGTAAAAACAAACAGTAAATTTCTGCAAGCTTAGTGTGTTTTGAAAACGGAGGGGGAAAAATAAAAATGCATTTTTAGGCCTGTCCCAGGCTTATATAAAAAAAGAAGATTGTGCCTTGCTCAAGTGAATACTATGTTAGATTTACATGATGTATTCATGCGTATGAAAAGATCATTCAGAATGATCATGTAACCGGATTTCAACTTTTAAGCCCGTATGAACACAGTGCCTTGATACCATCGAATTTCCTGGAGAGGAGATGCTTAAAACAGGTCTTGTGCCTTCTATTCATGTCAATTTCCTTTTTTTTTTTTTTAAGATTTATTCATTTTAGAGAACACGTGTTCATGGGGGAGGGGCAAAGGGAGTGGGGGAGAGAGAATCCTCAAGCAGATACCCACTGAGAGGGGGTTTGCGGGGGTGGGCTCCGCCAGGACCCTGAGATCAAGACCTGAGGGGAAATCCAGAGTGGGCTGCCCAACCGACTGAACCACCCAGGTGCCCCTTCATGTCAGTTTCTTAATCAGAAGACATTCTTTGTGATGTGAGCCAAGAAACAGAAACAATGAGGAGGAGTGATTGAAAATAAACATTTTTGGCAAGGGAGAAGTCTTAATAGTCCTAAAAAGACTGGAACATAGAACCTTAAAAAATAGAATGAGATTCATTTAGAGCCAGTGCAATTTTCTTTTAGTTGAAAAACTTTAATATGTCTTAAAGTATGTGTTCCTGGTTAAGTCTTACTATTTCTTTTTCAGTATTCAGGTTTAAATGTAAACTTATTTTGAAGATACGCACTTTTAGCGGGTATTTGGGGGGCTAGAATGATTTGGATATTTTTATTTTCTCAGACCAATTACAGCACTTATCTGTGATATCTCATATTACAGCCAGGTCAGTTTTCCAAATGCTGAGAAATTCAGCTTTCTCTTCTGTAATAGATGGGAAAAGAAAAAGAAATTCTGGGGGCACCTGCGTGGCTCAGTCGGTTGGGCGTCTGACTCTTGATTTCAGCTGAGGTCATGCTCTCAGGGTCTTAAGATCAAGCTCTGCGATCAGTGTGGAGCCGGCTTGAGATTCTCTCTCTCCCTCTCCCTCTACCCCTCCCCTTACTTGCACTCTAAATAAATAAATAAATAAAATGTTTAAAAAAGAAAAGAAAAAGTTGTGAAACTTTTTCAATTTTTCACATTTAATGGATAAATTCTAACTTTTGAAAAGCAGAGTATTAGATGCTATATTTTAAGGGTCTTACCTTTCCCCTTTCAATATGTATTTACTGAACAAACATCATTAGGGCAACATTGAAAAGTAACTCTTTAAAAACTTTCCTCTCACCCTAGGACAGTGGCTCTAAACCCAGGGGTGATCTTGCTTCCCATGAGACATTTGGCAAAGGATGGAGATATTTTCAGTTGTCACAGCTGGGGATATGTTACTGGCATCTAGTTGGCAGAGGCCAGGGATGCTGCTATACATCCTGCTATGCACAGAACATCCCCCCCCCCAACAAAGAATTATCCAGCCCAAATGTCAATGATGCTGAGGTTAAGAAACCCTGTCCCAACATATCAAGTTCATTTTTCTGTTCTGGGTCAACCCTTGCCCATGAGTGTACATTTTTACGTAGCTGTAATGATAGTGTGCATTTTGCCTTTCTTTTAATTTTATATTTTAAGCATTTAAACATTGCTACGTTGTTTTCAATTTTTTGAAAAGTATTTTTCTCCTCATTTTACTTGGGAATTGAGAAGGAAAAAACTGTGTTTAATATGTTTTATATTTAAGATGCCTATGATTTTTTTTAAAGATTTTATTTATTTATTTGAGAGAGAGAGAGAATGAGAGAAAGCACATGAGAGGGGTTAGAGTCAGAGGGAGAAGCAGACTCCCTGCCGAGCAGGGAGCCCGATGTGGGACTCGATCCCAGGACCCTGGGATCATGACCTGAGCCGAAGGCAGTCGCTCAACCAACTGAGCCACCCAGGCGCCCGATGCCTATTATTTTTAAATTATATTTGTGTAGAAGGGAGAAAGAAGGGTTAGGGTGAATAGCCTATCTGGGTATATCAGTTTTTGTGGCCATGCTATTTACTTTTGTTCCCTAATGTCACTCTGAGACCATAAGATCCAAAACTCATCCCTTGCTTAGAGCCAAAAGATGTGCTGTAACATGAGGTATGGTCCTGGCCCCTCACTGTAGTTCGAGGGCACCTGTAGGGGAAATAAGAACAAGAAGCAATGACTCTGCACCCATTCTCCTTGCTCTCTTTCCATTTAAAATTCTTTGTCTCTGTCTCAGTTTGCTTTGACAGTTTTACCAACTCATTCTTTACATCTGGAAGTTTGGGGAGGAGGGCAAAAACTTTTTAAGATAGTTAATGAGCATTTATTCAGTATCTACTTTATAGAGAATAGTTTGTGTGTATACTTTGTTATGTGGGTAATTTTAGGTGCAGTTTAGATGTTAGAGCATTTATAATTCAAATAATGGATTTTTTAAAAAGATTTTATTTATTTGAGAGAGAGAGCACGAGTCAGGGGGAGGGGCAGAGGGAGAGAGAGAAGCAGACTCCCTGCTCAGCAGGGAGCCTGAAATGGGCTCCATCCCAGGACCCTGAGATCATGTCCTGAGCCGAAGGCAGATGCTAAATAATGGATTTATATTACCTCAAGATCTGCTTTTTTAGAATTTTCAAATTACTTAACCATTGAGTCTCAGTGAACCAACCCCCTGGAAAAATGTGTGTTCTGGGGTGTCATAGCAGAACAGGCAGAGTGACCCAAATGTTCAAAGTCATGGAAATATAAGCAGCATGATGGGGATCGGTAAGTATACTAATGTCAAGGTGTGGCAGAAGATAAGGCTAGAAAGACAGACAGGAACTAGGTTGTGAAGAATCTCTGATGCCAAGCTAAGGGATTTGAACTCTTCCTGAAAGCAGTGGGAATGAAGAGCAGCAAGTGATTTGCATTCAGAACAGTCAGTCTGAGGGCTTTGAATGGGGGACAGCCTGGAAGCAGGGATATCAGTTAAGGATGCAATTACACTAAACTGGACAGTAAGTGAGGAGAGCCTAAATTAAGGCAGCACACTTAGATAAGAAGTAGAATCTACATATTCAGGGACTGGTCATTAATGAGAGTGGGATGAATAAGAAGCAGGGTCATGGATGACTCTCAGATTTCTGGCTTGGGAAACTGTATTGATGGTGATTTTATTAACTGTACAATACAGAAGGAGGAGCAGGTGGAAGGGAAAGATGAGTGGATTCAAGCCGAGTTGTTCATTAGACAATTTGATATGCATTGCTCTTAAACAGTAGACTCATTTTATATTGTCTTCTTACCTACACATCCTCTTCTCTGGAATTTGTACCTCTCTACCAATCCTTACTTAAAGAGTAGGCTTTAGTGGCCATGTTTGTATGTCATATTTGCTTCTAACCCATTCCAGTGACAAGGGACTGAATGAGGATTATACAACTAACTTTGGAGAGGGGGACATGGATCATTGAATGAGCAAAAAATAATCATCTCTCTTTCATGAATTTGAATTAAAAGATAAAGAACAGAAATGACTTAATCTGAAAAGTTAGTTAGGCTTAACACATGAATGGCTGTTTCTAGCCTGGCTGATGAGCAAGCAGAGAAAATCTGTCCATGTGGAAAAGCAAGTAAATGGGCAGATTCATGTGGAAACTCAGAGACGAAAGACCTCATGGGTCAGGATAGACTAGTCCAGTCTGGTCCAGGATGGGCTGTCCAGTTCCATATCCAGTTCCTATGTAGTCATATTTATTTTCCAGTATATGCACATGGATCTTATTCTTTAAGTAACCCTTCTGTAATAGTTGGGATTGGTTGGCCATGGGGGTCAGAAAGCTCAAAGTAAAAATGGCTTGAAAAAGATAGAAATTTATTTCTCCCAAATAAGAGTGAAGAAGAAAGCAGTCCAGAACTGATAGGGCAGCATCTTGAAATTGTCGGAGATTCACAGATTTCTTCTCCCATGATAGTATATTATCTATGGCAGGTGGCTTCTACCCCATGGTGTCCAGGATGGCTGCTCAAGCTTCAACTATCTTGTGTGTATTGCAGCCAGTAGAATGGAGGAAGGAGTGAGGAAGAGCGATCCCATTCCTTTCAGGGCACTTCCTAGAGGTGGCACACAATTCCGTTTACATCGCATTGGTCAGAACTTGGCTGTATCTAGCAGTAAGGCAGGCAGCCGTATGATCATTCAAGAAGTCAGTTATCTTATGCTGCGGGAAAAGGGAAAAATAAATATTGGGCAACAACTGGCAGTCTTTGCCACACGTACTTGTGTTTGTTCTAACTTCAGCGTGTTTCTGTTTCTTCCCATTTTTTTCTAGATAGAGCTGGAGCTTAGCAAAGATAGATTATTATTCAACCCTAACAACCCCATGAGGTAGCATTATTATTAATCCATTTTATTTGGGGGTAAGTAAAAGTTTGAAGAAGGTAGGTGACTTGCTTAATCACAAAGCTAGAAATTGGTGGAGCCAGGGTTTGAACCAAGGTATGTCAGACTCCTATATCCATGCTGTTAATCACCATGAAAGTGAGAAAGGCAGAGAGCCAAAGGCAGGATTCTTAGGAATGTCAGCATCTCGAGGGGTTATGGAAGAAGAGGAGCTCAGGGAGAACACAGAGAAGGAAAGGCCAGGGAGGTAAGAGTAAACACAGGAGAAAGTGATGTGACAGGACAGAGAAAGGAAACACTTTCAAGATAGGGGTGCAGAGAGATCATATATAAAAATTATAGAAACATGTCCAGTTTGATTGGCATTTTGAGGGTATTGGTAAGTGATATTTTGAGTATAGTGGTAAGAACAGAAGCCAAAATGCAGATGTTTGAGGAGGGGAAGACAAATTAGAAGAAGGACAGTACCTTCGGAGGAATGTGGTGGGGTCAAAGGAGAGTTATTTTTGTATCTTTATTTTTAAGACCAGAAACATCTTGAATGAAGGGCAAGAGATCAGTAAAGAGGCAGATAATGAGTATACAGAAAAGAAAAAGCTTCCTTGAAGAAGCAATGTGGGATGGGATCTAGAACACAGGTGAAGAGACTTGCTTTCATCAGGAAGATGGAAGTCTCCACTGAGCAGAGAAAGAGAACAAGTTCTCTAAAGATAAAGGCTAGTATCTTGGTGTAGGGGAAGAAGCTGATAGAGTTTTATAATGACTTTAATTTTATTAGTGCTGTGGAAGACAAGATCATCTGCCAAAAGAGGGGAGAGGTAAGATTTGGAGTTTGATGGGAGAGCTGGAAGTTGCCGAGTGAAATTGTAGCAGAATCTGGTAAAGAATGCATAGATTGATCTAGCAGGAGAGAAGCTTGGCTCAGGCTGCAGACCATGAATCTGTAGTGGCCCCAGTCTGCTTGCTTGTTTTATTTTTCTCTACGAGCACTCAGCAAACTAAAATCAATATAGGATAGTCAAATGGTCAAACTTTTCCAGGGCTGGGATTTTCAGGGAAGGTGGGACAAGGAGCAAGATAACTGGGGACATTGATGAGAGATTGCAGTGATCAGCTACTGGGTCCAGGCTTGAGGGGAAAAACCAAAAGTATCTGCTGGTTTGAAAGATGTAATGGTCCAGGGACTGAGGTCTCACTGTCATTGTAGAATAAGTACAGTTTAAGAGAGCAATCACTTCACCCCCATCAGTATGGCTTTGTTATATATATAAAACAAATATAACAAGTGTTGGCAAAGACGTGAAGAAATTGGAACCCTTCTGGGTAGTATGGTGGGAACATAAAATGGTGTGGCTACAAGTGAAGTAAGTCAAGCAGAGAAAGTCAATTAGCATATGGTTTCACTTATTTGTGGAACATAAGGAATAGCATGGAGGACATTAGGAGAAGGAAGGGAAAAATGGGGGGACTGGAGGGAGAGATGAACCATGAGAGACTATGGACTCTGAGAAACAAACAGGGTTTTAGAGGGGAGGGGGGAGGGGGGACTGGTTAGCCTGGTGATGGGTATTAAGGAGGGCATGTACTGCATGGAGTACTGGGTGTTATATGAAAACAATGGATCGTGGATCACCACATCAAAAACCAATGATGTATTGTATGGTGACTAATATAACATAATAAAATTTTTTTAAAAATCATTAAAAAATTAAAAAAAAATAAAGAAGTAAAAATTTGGCAAAAAAAAAAAATGGTGCAGCTACTTTGGAAAACAGTAGGGCAGCTCCTCAAAAAGTTAAACAGAGTTATATGACAGCAATTCTACTTCTAGGTATATACCCAAAACAATTGAAAGCAGGGACTTAAACAGATACTTGTAACCCATGTTCACAACAGTGTTAATTCACACCAGTTGAAAGGTAGAAATAGCTCAAATATCCATGAACAGATGAATGAATGAAAAAATGTGATACATACACACACAGACACACACATGCATGCACACACCCATACACCGGAATATTAGTCAGCCTTAAAAAGGGAGAAGGAGAATGTGAGTGGGGACCAGATGATGGGAATGGGGTGAGGAGGAGCGCAAGAAGATTTTTAGCTGTAAGTCATGAGGAGGACACATGGGGTACAAAGATTCAGGCCTGGGTCCTTTTTTCTTTCAGTGTGAGGTTCAGATGATAATTAGAATTCTATATATTGCCCACTAAAACTGTTGATGTGAAAATGATAACACTGAAACACTTAGCAAGAAAGGAGAAAAATAATACAAATAATTAAGAAAGCAAAACAGTATAGTTTGTGTGGACTATCAGCAGTACAATAATTATGCAGATCACTACAATTTGGTCAGATTAACTTGGTTAAAAGTTATGTCTGGGGGTGCCTGGGTGGCTCAGTTGGTTAAACGTCTGCCTTCGGCTCAGGTCATGCTCCCAGGGTCCTGGAATCAAGCCTCGAGTCAGGCTCCCTGCTCAGCGGGGAGCCTGCTTCTCCCTCTCCCTCTGTTCCTCCCTCCTGCTCGTGCTCTGTCTCTCAAATAAATAAAATATTTTTTAAAAAGTTATGTTTGATTATAACAGCTAGTCCTATTCACAGCTAGAGGTTCTAGTAACAGAGAAACACAGATACAACTTCAATCAGAAATTTATCTTTCACCTACCATTATAGTGTCAGCTCTTTTGTAGCATGACTACTTTTAACTTAAAAAACTAAAGATAATATTGATGACAGGCTTATATCAAGAGGTTTTAGAAGAGAACTGAATGATTTAAAAGTCACCAGAAATTATAAGCCATATTCTGTGAGTATTCCTTGATAGTACAGAATCAGTGAGCTCTCTAGCTTCCAGAGGAGTCCTTTTATCTCTCAAATTCAATTGAGGGAAAAAAGGCTTCTTTGGAACATATAACTTTGCAAGGGGCCTTTGGGCAATTTTCAGATTACTAAATTGTAAACTTCAGAACTGGGCATACAGAAAAGCTTGTATTTTTTAAAACACACATTTGCATTATATATATAATTTCATCATTTCTTATTTTAGAAGATATTATAAAGCTGTTTGAAACTTTAATTTTCTTTGTGTTGTTGGCTATTCATGTAAATGTTCATCATAACTGGATAACATACCCATTAATTAACAGGAGAACTAAACTACTTTGTACAGAGTCTAACTCTAGGTGTATATACATGTCAGTTTTCTTGCATGCTCGGTTGTGTGTGCGTGTGTGTTGTATGCATGTATGTACATACACATATGCTTATCTCTTTTACCAAGGGACAACTTCAGATAAAATATGTATTTCACCATCTCGAGAAAGGAGGGGTTGAATCCTTTGTTGCTACAGAAGAACCACTCTCTTTTATTTGGTGCTTATTCGAGAACAGTGAAGACGGGCTGAGCACTGCTACCAGAAATTTAGAAGAACTTACAGTGAAGTACATGGAAGAAATGAAAGAAGTAAGAGCTAAAAACATAAAGTTCTAAGATACCTGTGGTTTTGTTCATTGTCCTTCATTAAATTGACATGTTAAAAACCAACATTTGAATATTACTGTGTAGTTTGCAAAGCACTTGCACGTACATTTTTTTTCCCCTAAAATGTTCCAACAGTCTGTATTTATTTCTAGTAGAGTACATGTACAGAATGTTACCCAGAGATGACTGGTTGGACATCCAAATAGGTCCGCTCAAGGTGGCTTTCATTATCTTTGTAAATTCATCCATGTTTCAATAACCGACCCTTTAGCTGACTCTTGCTTGTAGCTTGTAGGCTTCGAAACCTGATTAGTCAGTGGATCTGTTTCTCAAAGGTGATCTTATATTAACTACACTCACAGAGAAGTTTGTAGAAAAATAGATACCAGCTTACTAGTTGACAGAAAGAAATATAATTGCCACAAGAACCAGACATGCATGTCCTGTGACTGATGGATTCTTTCTCTACACGTGCACTGCATTACAGATGTTTACTTGCTGAACAAATGATTCTAATTTTTATAGCACTGGCTAAGATAGCCTGATTTCCACAATAGAGCTCTCTATACCTGCCTTTATTTCTGGACCTGTTATAGACTAGAACCAAGCGGGTACCTAGCCCTTAGAGGAGTCGATAATGGCATCTTTTGACTTTCTTACCACTCTTTTGATGTTTCCAATACTGATCAACCTACTTTTCAACATATTTTTTCTTTAAATGAGTTAAGAAATTCTCTCAGGTTGAGTGGAAAGCATTCTATTGTGTTTCAACATCTCAGCTCAAATAGGCAACTCATTGATTTTTAAATTTAACTCTTAGAGGAGTTTTTGATTTGATTTCCAAACTCTTAAAGAAGAATGCAGCTTCTTAAGAACAAAAGCAGGACAGCATAATAGACATGAACTTTAACATTAGGCACATGGGGGTGAAAAATTGCCTTTAGTACTGTCTTTCTGTGTAACCTTGGGGAAGTTAGTTAACATCTTTGAACTTGAAATTCCTCATCTGTAAGATGGGGATGATAATAGCCTCTTCAAAGAGATGTGTGGGGTTTACACAGGTTAAGGTCCATAAAACATTTCACAGACATGTATTTGACACCTAGCAAGTATTCAATAAATTATAGTTATTATTAGAGATAGGTGTTATTCTTCCTGCCATTTTGAAGAGAAAGAAATTGAAGATTAGCAGGAAGTTATAAAGTTGGGTGGCAGTGCCGAGTTACGTCTGCTGTACCATTCAGGTCTTTGTTCGTTTTATGAGGAGTTGTGCAATAGGTCTCAACACAATTCAGCAAAATGCAGTTACTTTGGTAGTCTACTTCTAAGCAATTTGGCACAGTAGGTAAGAGCTTAGCCTCTGGGTTTGGGCCTGCTGAGTGTGAAGCCTAGCTCCTCCCCTTATTTCCTGCATGACAGTGCAAATCCCTTGGCCTCTAACGGCCTGCTTTTTCCCATATAAAGTGGGAGGATAATAAGTCTCAGAGGATTGCGGTGAAAATGAAGTATTTGATGTCCTTAATATGGTGCCGGGAGCATCGAGCTAGCTTTTAATCTATTACTATGCACCACATAAAAGTACCTTTTATGAAGCTGCCATATTAACCAAAAGCTATTTTTAAAAAATACTCAGTATTTTAATACAATCTTCTGTTAACATTTCAGACATTTTAATCATCATTGTTAGTACAGGAGTATAAATTTTTGTGGAGATTTTTCTCTGTTCATGGGTATCATGCTATATTTCCTAAATCATAGATAAGGAGACTTGATTTGAAACCTGGTAAGTTAATGGAAAAAAGAAATTAGAGATTGTGACTGTCCCAGAAATTTGTGGTGATGTGTCATCATATCTGTGGGAAACAGTGTCTGATAACATGAAGAAGCTGGAAGGAAGTTTAGGGAGGGAGACCCTTAACGAAAGCCAGGTTTTCTGTTTCTTAGATTATAGACACGATAGTATGGTGATCTCTCAATGACTCTTTCACTTCATAGATTTGATATGGGTTACTATATGAACCATGGACTAAGAGTAAGAAAATATATTATTTTCTTTTTAGGTGGAAAAGTATGCAAACCATGTCCATAACTTAACAGAGGAAAAAGAAGCATTTTCTCACGGTCGTGAAAAGGAAAACAAACAGCATAGACATGTGGTTAAAGAGCTCCAACCCAAACAGGGTAATTTTTCCTTTTGTAACAATGTGAAGTTTACTTTTTTTCCTACTTCTAAAAATAATATGTGACAATTACAGAAATCTGGGAAATGTATAAAAGTAGAAAGAAGGGGAAAAATATAATCCTCCACTCCAAGAAAAGTACTTACAATGTTTTGAGTGTATTTTCTGTCTGGTCTTTTTAAATTATCTATTCTGAAATAGTCGGAAATGTGTGTGAGAGAGTACAGGATGGTTATTTCCTTCAATGTCTATTCTAGCACTTACCACACTGTGTCAGAGTGACCTGTGTCAGCTCCTTTGGGGCAGAGATCGTGCCCTGGTCTTGGTGGTTTCTGTGTTTCCCACAGCACCTGCCTTGTAAAGGACCTAGCATATTAAGGACTCAGGAAATATTTATTAAGTACTACAAAGCTACAAGAGAAGACATGGATAGGACCCCTTTAGAATATTCTATTTTGTTTAACCTCACAAATTAGATAATATTATTACATAGGGACAGTGATTATTTATATTTACCATAGTTATTATTTTCTTTGCTCAGCATTTTCCCTGGCACCTCAGATATTCCATTTGAAATCATGGTTTTTTGTTTTGTTTTGTTTTATTTTTCATTTTAGAACTTCTCACTCCAATTCTGGAGTGAGGGGCAGGAGAAGTGAAGGGTTGGTTTACAGGCTGGAGTTCTGTCAACCAAGTATAATGGAAGGAAAGAGGGGCAAAGGAGTTGTGAATGTTTTCAAGGGGGGTGATTATAATGATGAATTGCTTAGATGAATCCAAGCTAGGTAAGAAAGTAAATGAGGGGCACCTGGTGGCTCAGTCGTTAAGCGTCTGCCTTCAGCTCAGGTCATGATCCCGGGGTCCTGGGATCGAGCCCCGCATCGGGCTCCCTGCTCGGCGGGAAGCCTGCTTCTCCCTTACCCACTCCCTCTGCTTGTGTTCCTTCTCTCACTGTGTCTCTCTCTGTCAAATAAATAAAATCTTTAAAAAAATTTTTTTAAATTAAAAAAAAAAGAAAGTAAATGAGAACGGGAGTGGGATAAGGAACATTAAAAAGTGTTTAAAGTTAGTGGATTATAGTTGCCAGTATGGTCAAAAATTTGTTAACATCTAGCTACTAGAAGAAGTACATAGGAAAGGGTGATTGGAGAATGGGATGCTTGAAGTTGAGACTGGGGAGTTGCTGCTAACAACAAGGTCTAGAGAATTACTGTGGAGTAGGGGCTGAGATGGGGTGGAGGACTCAATCTTTGGAAGTTAGTTGGTGAAGAGCCTTGAGAAGCCAGGGCACTGGAATAAATCTACCTGAATATTGAAATCACCAAGAATTTTGGCAGGGCTAGTTAAGTAACCTTACACAAATTAGTTGGCTTGTTGGTGCCTGCATCCTTGTCTCATAAATGGGATAATCATATTTCCTACCTCAGTGGATTGTTGCAAGGATTAGATGACATAAATTTATCTTAAGTGCTTAGTACAATACCTACCACATAGTAAGCACTCAATAAAACAACAATAAATTTTAAAGTTATGCAACAGTAAGAATATCTACCGCTTTTGAGAACCTTTTCCGACTACTTTTTTTGTTATTTTTTCTGAAAGTTTGCAAACACCCTGGAGGGATGGGGAGAAGAGTGGTGGTAGCCATATAGCTGATTCTTTAAAAATTAACTTGCTATTTCATTAAAAACACATTTAACATCTTACAACAGCAATTATTCGCCGGCATTTCTTTTAACAGTTTAGTTTCTGTTATTTCTTCCTAACAGAAGTGCAAATAAAAGAGATTGAAGAAATGTTGTATCAAGAGGGCTTATCCGAAATAGCTCTGAGCAGCCCCAGTGAACAGATTACATACTTACTGGTAGAAAGAAAACACTCTTGAGGAAACTGGAAACTGAGGGCTCCAAGCCAGAGTCACAAAGACGTATGACCAGTAACCTACAGAAAGGACTTGCCCAGGTATTCTGAAATTAAGTAGGTAATTGAATAAGAGGCAGGCCAGTTTTTTTGTTTGTTTCTTTAATAATTAATTCGTTAAATTATTAGGAAGCCAGTTTTAATAATGCTTAAGTATATAGGTGTTCTTTTTTAAAGATTTACTTATTTATCTGAGAGAGAGAGTGCGTGTCCAAGTGAGTGGGGGGAGGGGCAGAGGGAGAGAGAGAGAGAGAATCCTGAAGCAGACACCCTGCTTGGTGGGGAGCCAGATGTGGGGCTCGATCTAAGGACCCTAAGATCCCGATCTGAACCAAAACCAAGAGCTGGCCACTCAACCGACTTTGCCAAGGCACCCCAAGTATATAGGTTTTATATTTGGATGGACTTCTCTGCCACTTGTTCTCAGTATGAACTTGAGCAAGTTAGTTAACTTTTGTGAGCCTTGATTTTCTCATCTATAAAATCTGGGATCGACTCAGCTACTCCACAAGGTTATCATGAAAATGAAATAACATATATAAGGGCTCTAGAATATTACCTCACACATTAATTAGCATTATTGTGAGGCTTTTTTTCTCCACAGAAATCTGTAATAAAAGGTGAAAGATTTATGCCATCTGAAGAGAAACCAGAGTATTAATTAGCATTATTGTTACTGTTTATTGAGAATTTCCCATGTGCCAGGCTCTGTGCCAGTGGATGTAGAAACAAAGTCAAGTTAGACATGATTTGGACTTGCAAGGAACTTATAAGCTAATGGAGGAAAGAAAAAAGCCAGTGATTAGAGTTCAGTGTGTAAAATCCCATGATAAGGGAAGGCATAGAAGGTTCAAGAAACTCAGAGAAGGGGCTGAGTCAGATGTGATGGGTCGGGGGACTGAAAAGCCTTCCAGAGAAGATACTGAGTAGTAGTTTGAAAGCTGAATATGTGTTAGCTAGATGAAGAAGCTGGGAAAGGCATTTCTGCAGAGGAAACAGTGTATATTACAGACTGGTTTGTGTGAGTGAATGCTGAGAAATGTGGTTGGAGATATTTTCAGGGACCACATCATGATGAGATTCATATACTAAGCTAAAGTTTGGACTTAGCACCCATCAATGTTCCTGAACCATACTAGAGGCATAAAAACATTTTTTTAAAAAGATTTTATTTTTCAGGGGTGCCTGGGTGGCTCAGTCATTAAGCATCTGCCTTCAGCTCAGGTCATGATCCCAGGGTCCTGGGATTGAGCCCTGTGTTGGGCTCCCTGCTCAGCGGGAAACCTTCTTTTCCCTCTCCCACTCCCCCTGCTTGTGTTCCCTCTCTCGCTGTGTCTCTCTCTGTCAAATAAATAAAATCTTTAAAATATAAAAAATAAAAAAATAAAAAGATTTTATTTTTCAGTAATCTGTAAACCCAGCACGGAGCTTGAACCCACAACCCCAAGATCAGGAGTTGCAGGCTATACCCACTGAGGCAGCCAGGCACCCCAAGGCATAAAAACATTTGATGGATTTTGTTATAGAAGGTCTGGAGAGTCACTAAATAATTTTAAGAGGAAAGAGTAACATTCTGATTCATGTTATTACAAAATCTGGGATTTTGATTTTTGGTTTTAATGAATCAGTTCAAGAGGAATTTACTATCTTAAAATTATTGATGTGATCTGTCATCATGGAATATCCATGTATTTTTTCATGTATATAAGTAAAGTTTTATGATTTTCTCCATAAAATCTTACACTCTTATTGTTACATTTATTCCTAGGTACTTCATATTTTTGGATGCTATTAATAACAGATGCTATCTTTTTTATTTATTTTTTATTTTTTTAAGATTTTATTTATTTATTTATAAGACAGAGAGAGACATAGCGAGAGAGGGAACACATGCAGGGGGAGTGGGAGAGGGAGAAGCAGGTTTCCCGCCAAGCAGGGAGCCCGATGCGGGGCTCGATCCCAGGACCCTGGGATCATGACCTGAGCTGAAGGCAGACGCTTAACACCTGAGCCACCCAGGCGCCCCCAGATGCTATCTTTTTTAAAAGAATTTAATTTTCTAACTGTCACCGGTATTTATTTATTTATTTATTTTTAAGGTTTTATTTATTTATTTGAGACAGAGAGAATGAGAGACAGAGTATGAGAGGGAGGAGGGTCAGAGGGAGAAGCAGACTCCCCGCCGAGCGGGGAGCCCGATGTGGGACTCGATCCCGGGACTCCAAGATCATGGCCTGAGCCGAAGGCAGTCGCTTAACCAACTGAGCCACCCAGGCACCCGGTATTTAAAAGTATAATTATTTTATATACTGACCAACACCTAACATTGTTGCTAAAATTTCTTATTCATTTTACTTACTTATTTATAAAATACTTTTTACTCTTTATTTTTATTTATTTATTTTTTAAAGATTTTATTTATTTGACACAGAGAGACACAGCGAGAGAGGGAACACAAGCAGGGGGACTGGGAGAGGGAGAAGCAGGCCTCCCGCTGAGCAGGGAGCCCGATGTGGGGTTCGATCCCAGGATCCTGGGATCATGACCTGAGCTGAAGGCAGACACTTAACGACTGAGCCACCCAGGCGCCCCTATTTATTTTTTTAAGTAGGCTCCACACTGAATGTGGGGCTTGAACTCACAACCCTGAGGTCAAGAGGCATGTGCTCCACTGACTGAGCCAGCCGGGCACCCCTCTTATTCATTTTAATAATTTTTTTGAAGATTTCAAATATTTTCTACCTGTACAATCACATTATCTGAGAATAATGAACTTTTGTTTCTTCCTTTTCAGTCCTTATTCCTTTCAATTCTTTTTCTTGCCTTATACTGGCTAGGCTCTTTACTATTATCTTGAAATTAGTATTATTATTAGTATTATCTAGTATTATCATCTTGTTATTAATATTGGAGAAAGCATTCAGTGAATCACTATTACATATGATGTTTGCTGAAGCTTTTATTTCAGATGGTAGTCTTTATTTATTATTTATTATTTACACTCTTATTCCTAATTTGCTAAGAGTTTTTATTAGGAACCAGTGGTGAATATTAGAAAATGTTTTTTTGTAGCCATTGATGATGAAATAATTTAGAACTTGAATCTGTTAATGGGAGAATTTCATTGATTTATTTTTCTAATATTAAATCTATTTTGCATTGCTGGGATAAATCCAACTTATTCATGATATGTTGTCCTTTCTAGATACTATTAGATTAGATTTCATAAAATTTTGTGTAGGATTTTGTATCTATATTTATGAATAAGAAGATTGCCCTGTGATTTTTTTTTCTCCTGTTATCTTTATTGGGTTTTAATCTCAAGGTTTGGCTAGCCAGTGTTAGCCAATTGTTTTTCATTATTGCCTCTAGAGTAAGACTTTTTAGATAATTTTCCTAATCACTCTCCTGTGAAATTTTAACACTACTGTAGAGTTCTACATAGTATAGGCATATCATGCTTTGTACATAAAAAGAGTAAGATTTTTTTGCCCCCATAGGAACCAATTTTCACTCCCTTTGGGGTGATATTGTCTCATTGAAAATGCATGGCCTAACTTGATGAAATGGATTGGACTGTGCTCCTTTTTTTTGTTTTTTGCTTTTTAAAAAAATTTAAATGACATTTTAATTTATGAAGCCGGACTGATGTAAGTTTCACTTATCTCATTATTTATTTAGGAGAAACTTGAACAAATCCACCAGCCTCTGCAAAGAGAACATGAGAAATATCAGGAACCTGTGCAGCAATCTGAAAAAAATCTGAGTGAGGTAAAAAAAAAAAAAAAAAAAAAATCCTTCACTTAATAATAGCAGCTAATTACACATTAGCTTTTACCAAGTATTTTGTTTGAATATATTAAAATATAGATTGATGCTGTGAAGAATATAAAATTGTGCATAAAAGTATTATAAATACATCACAAAGATTTGAGAAGAAAAAATTAATAGCTGATTATTATTGAATGCATCAAAATTTAAACAATCAATGTGTGTTATGACCTTTAAAAATCACTTTGGGATAATCCTTCCCAAATATGTTTGGAGCCCTTTTTGGGGGGTAGTCCTTTAATATATATAGCACATTATTTTAAGTATAATCAATTCTCTTCATGGAATTAAATTTTTTGATCTGGGGAAATGTTGTTAAGTGCTAAATCCAGTAAATAAAGTATATGCTAGGAATTTAACCACAGGAAGTAACCCAAGATAAATGTATATGGATGAAACTGTTTATCATAGTATTATTTTAAATAGCAAAAATTAGAAACTACCAAATGTTTAAATGATTATATAAATCATATTACACCCACTATGGAACACTATATAGCCTTTAAAAAAATTATCATTACAAAATTTGTACAGTTTTTTTGGGAAATGTTTCTCATATAATGTTAAATGAAAAAGACAGAAATGTATGTAGATTGGGATTATGACTATGTAAAAATGTATATAAATAAAAAATACTGCAAGGATATATACCAATATACTAGAAGTGGTTTTGTTATACAGATGGTATTTTGGTTGTCTTCTTACCTTTTAGAAATATTTGGATGATGATTATATAAATGAATACATATTTTGAGGATCAAAAGCAAGGTATAATGGAGACTGAATTTCTTAGCTTTTAAAATGCTTTGAAAATAATTGCAGAAAAGGATCTGTAAATATGATTTGAGTGTGTGCATATCTTGATATTAAATGAAATACTCTATGTGAAAGCATTTTATAAACAGTATTTAATGGACCATATACAGGAGGAGTTTTTTTCTCTCTTTTTTGTCAGACGATACTCATTTTTATGATAAAATTTCTATTTTTTATAATCGTATAACCATAAACTCTTAGATATATTAGGTTGAACTATATGAAGTTGTATGTTCATAGGTAAAAAAACCAAGTATCACCAATTTTATATGGTTTTATTTATTTATTTTAAAGATTTATTTATTTATTTGAGAGAGAGAGAGAGCATGAGAGGGAAGAGGGTCAGAGGCAGAAGCAGACTCCCCACTGAGCAGAGAGCCCGATGCGGGACTCGATCCTGGGACTCCAGGATCATGACCTGAGCTGAAGGCAGTCGCCCAACCAACTGAGCCACCCAGGCGCCCTATGGTTTCATTTAATAAAAGAAATACATACAAATGAAATATTGTTTGCTGCTTTTCTTTGTTAGTTTTCAAATGCTTGTAGGAAATATTGCAGTGTTATAAGAGTACATTTAATTTTTGTTTTATTACTAATAATAGTTTTATTTCAGTCCCGTAATGAAGACCTGGAAAAAGATAAAACTTCACAAAACTGCCTGGAGAGAAGTGCGGAACAAGCAGCGGAGAGGTGAAGGATGGCCCAGGAAGAGATCCGAAGGCTCACTGATGAGCTACAAGGGAGGGAGAAAGAACAGAGTAAATTAGGTAAGCTGTGGTTGGCAGAGGAACGTTTCTGATGATGCTTTAAATGTAATTGATCTTTTCTCAGGGTAGAACATGCGTACATTGAGAAAAAAAATCTAAAAAACATGAAAGTTTGATAAACAGCTTTTTTTTGTACAGTGTCCAGAAATTTTTATTGAAGCATAAGCATAACATACCTACCCAAACACACACAACTCCCAAGTGTACATCATGTGGTGCAAGAAGCTCCCAGCATTCCAGAGCCCCCTTTGTTTCTTCTCTCTAGGTCTACACCCTCTCTCCCACCCAGATGTAACCACTATCCTGACTTTTAACACTATTTCTGAGTTTTGACAGCAGGCAATATGCATTCTTGAATTTAGTTTGTTTCTCTTGTTCAATCTTATGTTCGTGAGATTCACTCATGTTGTTGCATGTGGCAGCACTTTGTTCACTTATGCTGGTTGTATAATAGTCCACTGAATAAACATACTACAATTTCCTTATCTAGCCATTCTACTGTTGGTGGACATTTATGTTGCTTCCAGCTGTGCTCTATTATGAATAGTGCTGCTAGGAATATTCGTGGACTTACCAGCACATTTCTAATTGTGATATACCTAATTATTGGATCAAAGGGTTATGTGCATATTCTACTTTGGTAGATAACTGTTATACTGTCTTCCAAATAGTTGTATTAATTTAAGCCCCCCTCAGTTGTATATGAGATTTTGGTTGCTCCCAATTCTTTGTCAGTATTTGGTATTGTCAGTCTTATTAACTTTGCCTTCTCTGGTAAGTGTGTCGTGATATTTAGTTACGGCTTTAATTTGCATTTCCCTGATGGCTGATGAAGTTGAAAACCCTGTCATAATTTGTTGTTACTGTTGTTGTTGCTCATTTGGATATACTATTTTGTGAAGTACCTGCTTAAGTCACATGTATATTTTTTTCTTTTTTTTTTTTAAAGATTTTTTTTTTTAATTAATTTATTTATTTGAGACAGAGAGAACGAGAGAGAGAGAGCACACATGAGAGGGGGGAGGGTCAGAGGCAGAAGCAGGCTCCCTGCCGAGCAGGGAGCTCCATGCGGGACTTGATCCAGGGACTCCAGGATCATGACCTGAGCCAAAGGCAGTCGCTTAACCAACTGAGCCACCCAGGCACCCCACGTGTATATTTTTCTATTGGGTTATATCTTTTATTAATTTGTAAAAATTCTTTATATACTCCTGGAGCACCTGGCTGGCTCAGTCCATAGAGCGTGTGACTCTTGAACTCGGGATCATGAGTTCGAGCCCCACATTGGCATAGGCATTACTTAGTAAAAAAAAATTTTTTAATTCTTTATATATTATGGATATGAGCCTTCTATTGGTTATAAATGTTATGTTGGGGTTTTTTGCCATATAGAAATGCTAATATTTATCAAGTTGGGTTTAACAGAGTTATTCTGTATGGCTTCTGGGTTTTCATGTGTAAAAGCCTTTTTTTTTTTTTTTCATTAAGGACATGTTTGTAATGTATTTATTTCTGTGATTTTTTTGTGGTAAAAACACATGAGATCTATACACTTAATAAATTTTACATGTACAGTACACTATGTTAACTATAAGCACAAAGTTGTACAGAAGATCATGACTGAAATTTAATATCCATTTTCTATATTGTTCTTTTGCCCATTTTTAAATTGGGTTGTTTTCTTATTGTTGAGTTTTAAGAGGCTTTTTGTTGGGGGGGGGGGTAAAGGTTTAGCAGATGCATCTTTTTGCAAAATTTTTCTCCCAGGCTGTGGTTTCGTTGCCTTTTCCTTCTCTTGATGGTGTCTTTCACAGAGCATAAGTTTTTAATTTTAATGAAGTCCCATTTATCAAGTATTTCTTTCACAGATTGTGCTCTTAATGCCATATCTTTTTTAAATTTTATTTTGTTATGTTAATTACCATACAATACATCATTAGTTTTTGATGTAGTGTTCCATGATCCATTGTTTGTGTATAACACCCAGTGCTCCATGCAGTATGTGCCCTCTTGAATACCCATCACCAGGCTAACCCATCCCCCTACCCCCTCCCCTCTAGAACCCTCAGTTTGTTTCTCAGAGTCCATAGTCTCTCATGGTTCATCTCCCCCTCCAATTTTCCCCTCTTCATTTTTCTCTTCCTACTATCTTCTTTTTTTTTTTTAACATATAATGTATTATTTGTTTCAGAGGTACAAGTCTGTGATTCATCAGTCTTACACAATTCACAGCGCTCACTGTAGCACATACCTTCCCCAATGTCCATCACCCAACTACACCATCCCTCCCACCTCCCACCACTCCAGCAACGCTCAGTTTGTTTCCTGAGATTAAGAATTCCTCATATCAGTAAGATCATATGATACGTGTCCTTCTCTGATTGACTTATTTCGCTTAGCATAATACCCTCTAGTTCTATCCACATTGTTGCAAATGGCAAGATTTCGTTGTTGTTGTTTTTTTTTTGATGACTGCATAATTTCCATGGTGTATATATACCACATCTTCTTTATCCATTCATCTGTTGATGGACATCTTGGCTCTTTCCATAGTTTGGCTATTGTGGACATTGCTGCTATAAACATTGGGGTGCATGTACCCCTTCAGATCACTACATTTGTATCTTTGGGGAAAATACCCAATAGTGTGATTCCTGGGTCATACGGTAGCTCTATTTTCAACTTTTTGAGGAACCTCCATACTGTTTTCCAGAGTGATTGCACCAGCTTGCATTCCCACAAACAGTGTAGGAGGGTTCCCCTTTCTCTGCATCCTCGCCAACATCTGTCGTTTCCTGACTTGTTAATTTTAGCCGTTCTGACTTGTGTGAGGTGGTATCTCATTGATGTTTTGATTTGGATTTCCCGGAGCCGAGCGATGTTGAGCACTTTTTCATGTGTCTGTTGGCCATTTGGATGTCTTCTTTGGAAAAGTGTCTTTTCATGTCTTCCGCCCATTTCTTGATTGGATTATTTGTTCTTTGGGTGTTAAGTTTGATAAGTTCTTTATCGATTTTGGATACTAGCCCTTTATCTGATATGTCATTTGCAAATATCTTCTCCCATTCTGTCAGTTGTCTTTGGTTTTGTTGACTGTTTCCTTTGCTTTGCAAAAGCTTTTGATCTTGATGAAGTCCCAATAGTTCATTTTTGCCCTTGCTTCCCTTGCCTTTGGCGATGTTTCTAGGAAGAAGTTGCTGCAGCTGAGGTTGAAGAGGTTGCTGCCTGTGTTCTCCTCTAGGATTTTGATGGACTTCTGTCTCACATTTAGGTCTTTCAACCATTTTGAGTCTATTTTTGTGTGTGGTGTAAGGAAATGGTCCAGTTTCATTCTTCTGCATGTGACTGTCCAATTTTCCCAACACCATTTGTTGAAGAGACTGTCTTTTTTCCATTGGACATTCTTTCCTGCTTTGTTGAAGATTAGTTGACCATAGAGTTGAGGGTCCATTTCTGGGCTCTCTATTCTGTTCCATTGATCTCTGTGTCTGTTTTTGTGCCAGTACCATACTGTCTTGATGATTATGGCTTTGTAATAGAGCTTGAAGTCCAGAATTGTGATGCCACCAGCTTTGCTTTTCTTTTTCAACATTCCTCTGGCTATTCAGGGTCTTTTCTGGTTCCATACAAATTTTAGGATTATTTGTTCCATTTCTCTGAAGAAAGTTGATGTTATTTTGATAGGGATTGCATTAAATGTGTAGATTGCTCTAGGTAGCATCGACATTTTCACAATATTTGTTCTTCGAATCCATGAGCATGGACTGTTTTTCCATTTCTTTGTGTCTTCCTCAGTTTCTTTCATGAGTATTTTATGGTTTTCTGAGTACAGATTCTTTGCCTCTTTGGTTAGATTTATTCCTAGGTATCTTATGGTTTTGGGTGCAATTGTAAATGGGATTGACTCCTTAATTTCTCTTTCTTCTGTCTTGTTAGTATATAGAAATGCCACTGATTTCTGTGCATTGATTTTATATCCTGCCACTTTACTGAATTCTGTATGAGTTCTAGCAGTTTCGGGGTGGAGTCTTTTGGGTTTTCCACATCAAGTATCATACCATCTGCAAAGAGTGAGAGTTTGACTTCTTTGCTGATTTGGATGCCTTTTATTTCTTTTTGTTGTCTGATTTCTTTTGCTAGGACTTCTAGTACTATGTTGAATAGCAGTGGTGATAGTGGACATCCCTGCGATGTTCCTGACCTTAGGGGGAAAGCTCTCAGTTTTTCCCCATTGAGAATGATATTCACTGTGGGTTTTTCATAGATGGCTTTTATGATATTGAGGTATGTACCCTCTATCCCTATACTCTGAAGAGTTTTGATCAAGAAAGGGTGCTGTACTTTGTCAAATGCTTTTTCTGCATCTATTGAGAGGATCATATGGTACTTGTTCTTTTTTTTATTAATGTATTGTATCACATTGATTGATTTGCGGATGTTGAACCAACCTTGCAGCCCAGGAATAAATCCCACTTGGTCGTGGTGAATAATCCTTTCAATGTACTGTTGGATCCTATTGCCTAGTATTTTGGTGAGAATTTTGGCATCCATGTTCATCAGGGATGTTGGTCTGTAATTCTCCTTTTTGATGGGGTCTCTGTTTGGTTTTGGGATCAAGGTAATGCTGGCCTCATAAAATGAGTTTGGAAGTTTTCCTTCCATTTGTGTTTTTTGGAACAGTTTCAGAAGAATAGGTATTAATTCTTCTCAAAATGTTTGGTAGAATTCCCCTGCGAAGCCATCTGGCCCTGGGCTTTTGTTTGTTGGGAGATTTTTGATGACTGCTTCAATTTCCTTAGTGGTTATGGGTCTGTTCAGGTTTTCTATTTCTTCCTGGTTCAGTTTTGTAGCTTATATGTCTCTAGGAATGCATCCATTTCTTCCAGATTGTCTAATTTGCTGGCATATAGTGGCTCATAATATGTTCTTATAATTGTTTGTATTTCTTTGGCGTTGGTTGTGATCTCTCCTCTTTCATTCATGATTTTATTTATTTGGGT